AATTACGAAATTCTAGGCCTTAAAGTTATGACTCTCTAATGGTTTTTAGAACGACTTTCTGGGGGGTTCCCTTAAAAGGGGTTTCAAATGATCGATTTGGTGTCACGTCTTATGATATTATACTTCAATAGAACTGCTTAAAGGATAATGATCTTCTAAATATAATGTTAAAGGACCTATAGAATTAGAAATACGAGTTTTTTAACTAAAGAATTCTTAATAGAAGAGTAGTGCCAGGCCTTAGCTATACAACATTTGACCCCAAGTTTGTTTTTGTCATCTTAAAGCCATCTTTCTGGTCCTTTGTTACTCCAACGCCTTTGCCTTTATTAAGCCCTCCAACTGTTGCTTCCTGGTCGTAGCCTTTTGCCTGCTGCCTGCTGTTACACTTATCGTATAACACTTCATTAGCGCTCGCAATATGTTGCTACGCCCACGCCTACTTCTACTACGCCGCCCCCAAGAAGGTCCCCCGAGGCGGTCTGCCCCTCTCTCTCTCACTCTCTCTCTTCATCTTGGAAAGCTGTAACATATTGTAAATTCAGTGCAAGTCCATGAATAATTCACACTCTGGTCTGGCCTGCCAACAACGTCCTGTCGTCGTCCCCTGACATTGACGTCAAAAACAAACCGCAAACAGCTGGCCGCCCGCCCACTACTCTTGCCTAAGAGAGAGAGCGCCCCCCAAAGAGCGGGAGCCCCAAAGAGAGTGGACATCACTGCGCATCCTGCATGGCGCAGCGCGTGCAAGTCCGCATGAATGGAACGGCGAATGAATGGGCAAAATAGACGAAATACAGAGAGAGATTGGGGAGCGAACCGGAGCACATGTAAGCGAATACTATGTAGGTGGGCGTGCAAGTGTTTGTTTGTGTGTGTGTGCGTTTGCACAAATTTAATTATGCGCGCTTTTTGCTCTGAGCCGCCATATGTTTGGACTTTTGGCATAGAAATTGTGTCGCTGGAGCGCGCTAAATTTGCAATAGGCTAGAGGTAGAGGTAGAGGCAGTGGTAGAGTCTCTCTGGGTCTTTGCATTCGCTTTGGGCTTTAACCTGTTTCGCGGATTGCAGCTCCTCTGGCAAGCAACGCTCATTGGAAATGTCAAAGTTAAGCAATACGCCAAGGCGGCTGATAGACCAAACCATATTGAAAGTATTGTGCATAAGCTCGAACTAGTTATTCAAATGTGCTGCCGCCGCCGCCGCTCTCTTAACAACTCTCGGTCTCCGTCATAGAGTCTCGAGACCCTGTTGCCAAGCACGTTCTTTTTTTGTTCCGCTTCTTGTTGTTGCCAAGCGTATTCTCGCGTGCATTTTAAGTAGCGGGTCTTGCATTGGGCCCGTTAGATACTTTCAACCTAACCTCAAACACTTCGATGCACGCTGCACTGGTCACACTGTCCCCATAGACCATGCGGTGAGTCGAATTGGCCAACAAGAAATTGCTAATGCCATTATGCACGCCCCCTTTGGCCTATGGGTTCTTGCCAACTTGTGTGCTGCCCTTTTCTGCTTATATAAGCGAAAGTTAACCCACTAAAAACAAAAATTGAGCTCTAGAAATGTAAAAAAAGAAGAATATGAAGAATATCTTTTGCTGGAAGACGAAAAAAGTTGCTGACTTCTCGGCTTCCATCGTAGCCACTTGATTGTTAATGCTGCAATATTCGGAACTCTCGGATTTGGCCATAACAACATTTATTTATATGTATATGTTTAGGAAAGTCGCCATCTTTCCACTTTGGTCAGCATTCTTTTGTGAAGGCGAAATGCAGTTTACCTTTTTTTTCCGTCTTGGCCCAAGGTAATCTCTACCGTCAAGAGTTTCTACTTCGAGGTAAGACTGGCGACAATCTCAAGGCCTTTTAGCTTAAGTCTATCAAGTCAATCTTTCCAGTGAGTACTTCCTCTTGAGTTTCCCTTTCTTCCAAGTCAACCCTTTCAGACACTACTGCGAATATATATATATAAGACCAGCTCGCCTATAGCTATATAGAAGATTAGCTAAGTTCTAAATCCGCCTAATTAAGCATTTTGTGTTTCCATGTGCCTCAACAGGGTCTTATCGTCAGTATATGAAAATTTAAACAGAAAGTTCAGACTTTCGACAGCAAATATTTTAGTATTTCCTTATCAAGGCTGGACCAGAGAATCGAAAGTCGTTAAATATAAACTTCAACATGTATAATATTTGCACTGAAAATTATTTGTTTGTTTCGAAAAGTCCCAGGAATTGCTATTCTCGGTAGAGACCCATCAGAGCTTAAATGGATGACCCGGCGATCATACTTATTGGCTTTTCCCTGCGAATCGATTTCCACAGAATTCCCCCGATCTATCATATAGACGTATATACGTTTATAGTATTTATTTGTATGAAGCTTTAAAGATTGTGCGGGGCCCGGCAATGATGATTCTGCTATGTCAACTCTTCATTGCTCTCAACTGATAGGGGAACCACTCCAGCCAAGATCTCTGAATGAAAGGGAAGGGGGTTTTCTTTCTAGCTCTTGATAACAATGATCGGAATCTCGGCAATGCAGAGCACGTGACATTATCGGAGGTCTCTCAAGACCTGCTAGTCTCCTATGGGACTGGAAAATTTCATACCCTTATTGAGGCCCCTGCCTGCCTTGCTTGGCTTCCTCCTTTATTAAAATTGATTATAGATTATTTTTAGTTTTTTGTTTTGGTTTATTTTCAAAAAAATCCCATGGCATCCTAATTATTATTTATTTATTTTTTTCCCCCACTTAAGTGGAAAAACGGTACGCTAGCCTAATCAAAATTGGGCATTTCAGGTCTTATCTGGGGGGAAGGTTTATTTTTTGCTTTGTTTTTGTCTGGTTACAAAATACTTTGAGATAAGATTGTTGATAAATGCCCGAAGAGGCTTTAGAATGTGATAGTTAATAATATTAAAAATAATGCGAAAATCAGAAACTGATTGGATTTGGGTTTAATAAACACTGATATTGCATATATGTATGTACCCATGGATGTATCTTGACCTGATCTCTCTTCCCCTAGGGTTTAAAGAGTATTAGATCGGCGACTGGGCCCTATAAACCAATAATTTATTATACAGAAAACACAAACACGCAGTCGTTTGAGATACTTCTGAGGTAATTGAGCGCACGCCCCGGGTACGGGTACAGCTACGGGTACATTGTACCGCTTACGGCGGGAAAAACGCAAAACGCAGCAAAAACAAATAACAAAAAAACTGCACGCGCATTTTCCCGGGCACTGGGCCTATTTCTGTCGTCCCTACGTTTACATTGTCAAGTCGGGTAGTCGAGTAGTCGGGTAGTCGAGTCGTGTGTATTATCTCCTAATAGTAATGACACTGACGGGCCACACTCTGTTGACTTGCAGCAGCAGCAGCAGCAAAGTCATTACTTTGCATTTAGACCAGCTGATAGCGGCGACTCGGTCTCGGCCGCTTATCAACTCCGCATGTGTCCTCCTCCTCCGTCCATGCCGTAATAGATTCTTCTTTTGTGCTCGGCCATAGCAGCACTAGTGCTTCCTCTACAACAGCAAGAACAAGTGAAACAAGCGGACGGACAGAGACGGACGGACGGATAGACGGACGGACAGGGATGGGCGGACGGACGAACGACATGTATTCATTACTGTTTCCGCAGCGATAAGCAATAGACGACTACGACGACATCTACATCTATGCGGAGTACTCCAAAAACGAAGCTCAACAGGGCACACATTTCATTATATTGAAACATTTCACGCTTGTTGTACCCCCGTATGAGTGTGCGGGGGTGGTGATACGAGAGTATCGTTCGCTAATGATAAATTTCTTTTAATTTCTTGGAAAACTCCAATTATCATTATCGCTTAACAGAAAACAACTGTGTGGGGGACAGCGCGAAACTTCTAAGTTACGAACAAAAAATACTTCCCGAATGCCAGATATAACCGAAGGAGGCTTCTTATCACAACAAAAAAACAATGTAAATCGATATATTTGAACACAGAAAGACACTAAAAATTGTATTTTCCATTGAAAGGGGGAAAACGTAAGACCTCTCCTTTGTTCGGTTCAGAGAGATTCATCATATCATATTTTGCAAAGTTTTGGTAAGGTTGGGTAATGCCATTTTGGGCTCGGCGCTCTAGAAACGTCCTCCACAAGACAAGAAAACCAAACAAAAAAAGAGACTGATTCTGGGTGTGTTGTATATTGCTGGTGTCTGGTGGTAGCAGGGCAATTCGATTAGATTTTGGTTTCTTTTTCACTATTCTTTTTTTTTCCTTTTGGTCGTTCGGTGAGCGGACATTTTTATGAGTCTGCCTTGGGACAGGTTTGATCGTAGGCCAGTTTTGGTAGGTGATCGCAGCGGCGCAGCTCTCTTAGGTGATCGCATACATATAAAACTGCCGATCTACTTAATATGCAGAGAAAGAAAAGAAAACTAGCTAAAGAGTCTACGAAGGGGGACCCTATCATACCATTAATTTGTTGTTTTTCACATCGATCATCATACTTGGAATTCAGCTCATGAATATGTGTAAGTTCACGTTTCTTTCGTCTCCCGAAACTGATAAGCTTAATGTGGGTCATTAAAGTGTTTTTCTTTGGATTTTTAAATGCAATTTCGTTTTCTGAGAAGCACAACACGATTCTCGTACAACACACATATAAAAAGAAAAATACAAAAATGACTTAATAATCGTGAGGTCTGGTCAAAGATCGGGGGGGTTTCTAGAGTTCACAAAGAGGTTAGTAGCATAGCCTAACTTGGCTAAGTCATTTCCACACTCATTTCAGTGTGTTGTTACCTATCTTTAATATTAACGAACATTTTCTTATCGATTTGTGCTCAAACTTTCACATAGAGTAGTACCTCCATATCTAGCATTACCTGCTGTAATAAAAGCTCTCAAGTATCAATAGTTCTTGCCTGATAGAGTGAGGCATGCCTGCCTTGGGTACGAGTTTTTGTGTTTTTTTTTTTTGCTGGGGAGGAAACACTTACCGGATCTAAGTCGGAGTCCCATATATCTTTGAGGTCGCCATCGTAGAATTCCATGGTTCTTGGAGGTGTTCTTCGCGCTATGCGGATCTCAGCGCTCTAAGAACTCTCTTTTCCGTTGGATCTTGCGGTTGGTTTTGGGGATGGTTTTGGTTTGATTCTCGGTTCCACTTGGTTTGCAGTCACACTAATTTGTTGTTGTTTTTGTTTCTATGTATTTTAACCCACTTAAAAACTGTCTTCTTTGCTTTTCTTTTCTTTTTTTTTTTTTGCTTATTATTCTATTATTTTCGTATGATTTTATTGTGCCTGGCTCCTCTCTCTTTCTTTCTCTTTTCTCTGGCTTTTTACTTTTTTCGTATTTTATCTTCTTGCTTTAATTCTCGCGCTCTCTGGCTACCTCTCTCTTTACTTTACTTAATTTTTTTTTTTCAAACGAACAGTTCTGGGTGATGACTGTTGCTTCTTTATAACACTTATTAAGGGGAAACCTGTTGCTTCCAGAGAATGTTTTCACTTGACATTGTTATAGTCTGTGTGTGTGTGTGGTGTGGTGTGGTGTGTGCTTGTGTGTGTATACCGGGCGCTCGTTCGTGTGATGGTATTGGTGTATCTGTGTACGGATCTAACTTGGTTTACAACTGTTGGCCGGTTGGCTGGATTTAACTTGTTGCATGCGCTCTTCTTGTCGGATTATATATTTGGCGTTAACATTAATTGAATTATTAACATAACTTTTTTTTCCCGATTCGGAAACACTCGATTTTCATAGAAAATAGTTATTATTTATTTGGATTTCAACGTTTACCATTTAGTTATTTAGTTTTGGACTTGATTGCGATTTCAATTGATTTAATTGAATTTTGTATGTGTGTTTCGTGTGTGGTGTGTTGAATGGAAGAACCGCTTTCAAAATGGCTTTGCTCGGGGCCCGTGGATAATAGCGTTTAAAATGTGTAGTTAATATCGTTAGCGATTAACAATAATTTGTATGGATGGTAGCACACAATTAGAATAAACTGTCCGTAGTGCGACTGCAGCCAAAAACGGTACTAAACTAAATGTCGGTGAAATTCTTGTGAATGCGAACGAACGAGCAAATCGAGACGTCGCTCCGCTGCCGACGTCGCTGCTCAGCTCTCTATCTCTCTCCGAGGCTCTCTGTCCCACTCTGCCGCACACGGTGGGGGCCACCTAGGGGGTTAAGAGAAAATGTCTGAATTATCAGGTTCTCTCGCTCTCCCCCACAACTGTTGCTTGAGCTGTTTCTCTGTCGCTCTCTCTATTTGAATGCCGGCAACAGCGGCCAGAACTTAGGCTGGGAAAAAGCTCGAATTATAGATACTTTCACTGGAAGAATGCTATTTGATTCTGGGTATCGCCTACACTATTGCTGAGAAACATTAAACCTGTGAAGAGGATACATACATAAATCTTTTAAAGAATCTCAAGGCTGATATAATCTCAAACTTTCATAATATAATGCCACTTAATTCTTAATACAGGAAAAATAAAGTATAGTATGCCTTAAGATTCTAATATCTATACCTCTCCTATCTAAAATTAATGTATCTTATGGGTAACTGAATGAATTATATTATTATTGACCCAACGAAAAAAGTATCCCGACCAAAAACTTCGTCTTTATATCATTTTCCCATGGTTCTTAACCACAAATCTACCCCTGAGATACTAAGTAACATGCGGGCAGCCGGCTTCAGGTCCAAACTCACTCTCTCTATCTCTCTATATTCGAGACTCGGCGCTCTTAGAGAAACTTTCACGCTCTTTGAGGCTGTGTAAAGTGAATGTAAGCGGGCGTCGCGTCGTAAGCCGGCTTTGACGTCGCGTTGAGACCCGGAGTCGCATAGGAAAGGAAAACAAGTTTCTTCCGACGCGCCGATCGGCCGCTGACGTCGCTGCTGCTGCTGCTGCTGCTGCCGTTGCGGCAACACATTTGTTAACCTGTTTTTTATTATAGATTTTTTTGTGGATACGACGAGTATTTGATTTGGCCTGGCTGGAAGGAGGACGGCCGAAAGGGGCAGGCGGAATCCCCGCTCTGCAACCAGACCCAACAACTCTGGCTGCCGCTTGGTAACACTCGGCTCTGACTCTAGCTCTAGCTCTGGCTATGTGGTCTTGCGCTCTGTTGATCTTGTCAACTTGACCAAGTTATTTGAACTATGCACATGTGCAGTCCATACCGAGAGAGCTTAAGCCGCCTTTTGCTCAGTCATTTGAAGGCTGTTTGCCGGAGTCGGGTTTTTGGGTTGGGGTTTGGGGATTGGAACCTGGTGCCTGGACTCCATTGCCGCTGCTACTGCTGCTGCTGCAACGCAGCGTCAGCGTCGACGGCATAAAGTGAATGTACTTTCAAACCAAAGATCCGGTTTAAAGCTACAGATACAGCGTCAGACGATGACAACGACGACGACGACGGCGATGTTTTCACAAAACGCTTGTGTAATACATATGGAGAGGCATAGCTCTCCGAACCGATCCCGTGCATGTCATGTATCCCACAGACACAGACAGAGGCTCACCGACCGAGAAGAGCTTTTGCCCACAAATTTGTTTATTTGTTATTTGTTGTTGTTGTGATTTTAATTTGATTGTATTTATTTTAAACTTATAAAAAAAAACAAAAATCCCCAATATGGCTTACATAGTAAAAATTGGTAAACGGGTTCGGGTTCGGTTTCGGTTTGATTATCGCATTGAAAATCCCCTTAGACATATCACCGGGACTGGACCCCACCACTTACAGATCAATGAGCTCCGATAGAGGGATCATTATATTAATGCCCTTTCTCTGGGCAAGGGTACATAGATTTTTCAAGAGGTTTGGTTGCAAAATCAAAATCTGCTTTAAGGATTATAAAAACAAAACACACACTTGCTTTCGTTTTGGTTAATTTGCAAATTATGCCTGGTTGTTAAGCTTGAAATTCCTGCTATACGCACAAAGAATTTCTCTGAATTACATGAAGCTCATTGGCTTTCATTCCACGAGAAGATATTGCTCGCATTCTCCATAACAACATTTTTTGTTACACTTTCTAATTAGGAAAAGTTATAAAGATGATCTTCTCTGTCGAAATATGATCGATTGCAAGGCTCAAAAAGCATCAATCATGGCTTATTGGTGAATTGGCAAGGCTAGTCGTAATAGCCTTTCCCCTCTTGTTCCGATTTATGGCAAGTATATATGTATATATCGTACCTACTTGAATCACAATCCCATCAACAACATCATCAATGTGCATTGTGAGTGCCGCGCGTTGGCTGTGTGTGTGCCTGCTTGGATTGTACATTAAATTTCATTTGCGGAGCCGCGAGACTGTGTGTAATAATTCGTCATGCTGGCCGCATTTGAACCCGCATAGCCGCTGCTGCTGCCTCAGTCGCAGCCTCAGCCTCAGCCTCAGCCTCTGGTGCCGGGTAAAGCCGAACCGAGCCGGGCCGGGCCGGGCTGGGCCATTCCCAATATTCCGTACGTACCCCAAACACCGCCCCTAATTTAGCGAGGCAGAAATGACTGAATGACTGACTGTGAATACTCTTACGCCTCTCTTTGGTTCTCTTTGCGAGATCGTGCTGCTGCTCTGGCTTGCTGCGGACGCTTCAAGTGGTTTTTACAGTTATATAGTATATATAGAGAAAGAGAGATACATTTGTATCTTATGGCTGGCACAAATATTTTTCGCCACTGACGCTTGTTCATATATCTTTTTTCCTTAATTTTTTCTCTTTTATTATTATTTTGTATATTGTATTTGATATGTGAATCACAACGAAATAAGTTGTGTGAGTGAGTTGTGAGTTGTGGTTGAGTTGAGTGTTCACTGGAAAAATAAGATATAATTCAGTTGCCGTCGTTGTTGTTGTTGTTGTTGAGCGGAAAGCCGGAGACAAGGCGACGTACTATAAAGGTGTCTGTTAGTCTTGAACACTCTTCTTCCCCGTCAGTGGCAGGTTCCTGTTTATCTGCACTAACATTTTAATCTGAGATACTTGAGATTTCTTTTAAAATATAATTTAGCATTATGGCAGAGAAACTTCTGATTAGATAATTTAATAACTTCCCCCGTATGAATGAATTTTTGTTATTGCGGATTCCTGTACTTATCATTTCTGTGATTCGTTTAAACGAAATAACAACACAGAGCTCCATAAATATTTGGCTACCATGTTTTCGTTTCGTAATTGTAAATCTATAAAAACCTTAATTCCTGAGGAGGTTGAACGCACTTGGGCATGATAATTCAAGTGCTATCTTAACCTAGAATGCAAGTTTCTTCCTCCAAAACACTCATGTTCCACATGCAGATAAGGATTTTTCAGGACACAAAGGACCGGCTTATCACTTGGGTTAATGACTCAGCCAATATCAGTGTTTAGGGTCTCCGTCCCTTTCCGTATTCCCAGCGGGGCCCGAGGTTCCTTATCGTTAAGTATATTTAGCATAAATCGTGCATGCCTCCGTGCATTCTCTCCCAAGCATTAAAACGCAATTTGGCCATAAATAAATCTGCCACAAAACGATTGTATTGCATTTTGACTCGAATTTTATTTTTTCGAGTATTAGTTGATATGTTTTATTTATTCAAGAATTCTTTTGTTTAATGATGTACTATTATTAGCTCTACGAAAAAAGCAGCTGTGTGTTCCTCGGAAAAATACGAAATGCATAAAAAACATATGCCATGGCATCTAAAAATATGAATGCTCTCATACTTTAGCTTACACAAATTGATGACTTTCCAATGCAAAACAAAATATTTAGCAGGACATTGATCTCTCGCAGAAGTTGTTAATTGCGTTTAGGCATTCCTCACTTAGTCATTTTCCAGTTGTTAAATTGCTGAAAGCGACAGCAAAATAGGCTATAGAATACTCTTCTGACCTAGTTTCATCATTATCACTTTTTGACAAAAGCAGCAGCGTTGTAGATCGCATGCTGTATCTCGTACCTATGTACCTGCTCTCGAGAGATACGAGATACGCATTTACTTTGTCTCTAAAAATAATAAATGATCTCATTGTTGAAATTATCGTCTCCCTCAGGACATTTTATTTGAAAGAAATATATGGTGTCATCGATCGTCACTTGTTTTGGGCTTCATGAAAATGTATCTTTTAACGGTGGCGAATGTGATATTAACACCACGATTGTAAATAAATGTGTGTACATTTGGGATTGTAAATTAAATACAATTCGTCGATCGAAGCATTTATATCGGTGTGTAAACATACGCAACGTCGCAGACATTTCGCCGTCGTTGTCTTTACAACTGAATCCACAACGTCAGCGTCAGCGCTTCGCCTCGTCATGTGCATTGAGCCAGTCTTTTGTTCTAGCTCGATCGATGTTTCCCCGTCATCCGTTCTGTCCCATCTGTCAATTGCATTTAAAGCAAATATCGCTTATAAGAAATGGGCTATAATAAAGTAAGAATACTGACTGTATGGCAACAACAAAAGATTGGTTACGTTTGCACTTGTTTAAACACAATTTCAGAAAGAGAACTTCACTTCAACTCACTACCTGTGCTTCTTGTTGATTTTATTTTTATATTTATTTTTTCACATATATATATTTTTTTTTTTCATTTTCTTTCCTCTTACAGGTGCACGATAAAGTTAACCAACATAGACCGACAGAGACCAGTGCTTATTTCTGTCTTATCGTCTTATTGGAAATGCTTGACAATAAATTAGATTTTGTGCAAATTCTATCGTCCGTCCGTTGGATCGATCCACTCAATGGTGTCCCGCCATGATGGTGCAAATAATGGAAAGGAATACGAATACCAAAGAAGAAATACACCCCGGGCAAATCGCAGGTTCGTGTGATTTATATCATAACAAAAGCTGGAGAGCGTAAAAAGAAATGGCAAAACGAAGCTTTAATACTCTACATAAACAGAGTGGGAAAAATGGGATAATAACTACTATATTATCGAGGAATTAATACAAATTAATTTATTTTATTTTGGTGAGAGAAAGGTAAGAGTATATCAAGATAAGAAGCTATATTTAAATGTTGATTAACATCATTTACTATTAACAAATAAAGACCACGGTCACTATACTAACAAGAAAAGCCTTTTGATAGTCCAACGATTAATCAAAAATATATAAAATAATATTACATAAATACTATTAAGCTTTTTATACATAGAGCTATTCAAATCAGGGACCGCAAATAATTATTATGAGTTTAAAAAAATTGAAGCCCAAAACAGTCTCCAAAAAAATTGGAAAAAATTGTCATAAGTTAAATTTTCATGGCGAATTCAAAAACAAGATAAATGTTTTTTTTCAATTTTTTGTATAAAAATTACACAATAACTTTTATTTTCAATTTTTATTATATAAATTGAAAAATAAGAATTATTCGATAACTTTTATTTTAAAAATTGAAAATAAAGATTGAATCTATATATCTTTTGATCCGTAGAAGCCAGATCCAATATATATGTATATATATGATCTACACATCAATACCTTTCATATGGTATATAATAAATATGTATATATATATATACATATATATTGGATCTGGCTTCTACAGATAAAAAGATATATGGATTCAATCTTTATTTTCAATTTTTAAAATAAAAGTTATCGAATAATTCTTATTTTTCAATTTATATAATAAAAATTGAAAATAAAAGTTATTGCGTAATTTTTATATAAAAATTGATATTTAATAATTATTTTGTAATTTTTTGCTTTTTTAATTATAACCGTTACAGTCCCTGATTCAAATTATAAGATATCCTTTTCTAAAACGGTATTATTTAGTTTAAAGTTAAGAACGATATAAAGTTACATCTTTAAAGCTTCTCATATCATTTTCCTTTAACAATTGTAGAAAAAATAACTTCAGGGTAACTTCAAGTCGAGTCTATTTTTATCCTACACTTTTTCTTGCCTGGCCTCTACGTCTTTTGGCTATCCATAAACAAAATACGGCCAATGCGGCGTTTGTTGTTGAGGTCAATGATTTCTGTTGCGTTGTCTGTTTTTTCACGCTTTTGACTTTTTTTTCTCTCTGTGCGTGTGTATGTGTATTTTGTGTATGTGAGAGCATATTGAATATTAATTTTAAAGTTTTGCGGCTTATGTAAACACATTCAGCAAAATAATAAGTGGAACCATCGACGACCGCTGTAATGTCGATTCTGCAAGAAAACGATGATGACATAATGGAAGATAGTCTTAGGAGGAATGCTGTACACTGCCTTGTGATTCACGGAGACCAGAATATTTTGTAATACAATGAACCTCGCACGGTCTAGAGTTATCTTGAAGGTCTCCCCTTTGATAAAATGATATTCAATTAGACTAAAAAGAAATGCATGTTGGCTGTGATTTTTTCGGGCATAAATATAATGGTGAAACAAGCAAGTTGCCTCAGTAGAAGAATCAAGCTGTAACCAACAAAATGTCCAAATATTTGATCTACCTGTGCTTTTTGCTCCTGTGGAGTCAACAGTCAAGTGCCGATCATTACGATGAGTGTGACGGGGCAGAAGACGAGACATTTGTCCAAAGCTGGGATAGCTGTCAGTCCTATGTGTACTGCCAGGGTGAGGATTCATCGAAGGGCGACTGTGATGAAGGTGAATACTTTGACGCCGAGACTGGGGGCTGCGATGTGGCTGCCAATGTGCAGTGCTTTCTGGACGAAGTCGATGAACCAACCGAACCTGAGCCCGAGCCCGAGCCCGAAGAAGAGGAGGAGGAAGTGACTCCAGTCACCCTACAGCCAACGGAACCTTCGACAGTGGCACCTACGGAAGTGGATTTCCTTAATATTGCACCGGTTGTAAAGCCAAATTGTCCGATCAGCGATGATCCCAGCCAGGTTATAATGATGGCTAGCAACGAATCATGCACCAACTATTATCTATGCTATCACGGACATGCCATGGAAATGCACTGTACGAATCAGTTGTACTTCAATGCCTTAACCGGACAGTGCGACCACCGGGAGAACGTTCAGTGTGCGGTAGGTTTTCGATTTAAGATTCAAGATTTAAATCTATCTGTGTAAAATGCTAAATGCTTTTTGCAGCTGGAAGATCCGCGGGATCATAAGTGCCTGCCCCACATGACCGAGTTCTTTCCGCATCCGGATAAATGTAATTATTTTTACTATTGCATTAAGGGATTTTTGACCCTGCAACAGTGCCCCTTCTACTACGGATGGGATATCGAGAAAAGGAGTTGTGTGCAGATAAATATTGCGAAATGTTACGGTAACTCCCGACGAACTTAGGGCCGGAAACTCCCAAACTCATTTTGTGGGTGTTGTCTACATTTAGCTGATAAGCAGACTTTATTTATTGATAAGTTACAAGATTGTAGCAACATGAGACGTCTTAATTAAATATAACTTATAAGACAAAACCTTGATTGCCTTTTGGGCTGAGCTATAAAAAGCTTAGCGCACAGCTCGACTCCCCACACAGAGAGCGAGAATGCAGAAATCTTTGCGCCTAGACTACCTCGTGATCGTTTACGGCATTATAGTCGTCGCTTGCGGTATTAATGGTCTAAACATTACAGAATGTAATAATCACGATGGATTTATAAACAATACTCGTCCCAACTGTAGCTATGCCTACATAAATTGCTCTGGCCAGGACTCAATGTTTTGCTCGGACAACAGGACTTGTAGTGCTAATTTCACCTGCAATTTGGACATTTCCACTTCCACTTCAACGGTTTCACCCAATATAACAACAACACCCGTAACACCATCGCCGTCGCCTACCGCCTCACCTTCGGATGTGCGACGTCAGTGTCATCAGGGTGTAACCAAAAGGTTTAGTTACCCACAAAATTGTAACTATTTCTACTACTGCGTGGACGGCTTTCTACTTGTGGAGCAATGTCCCTTTGGATATGCATTTGACGCCGAAACTGGAGCATGTGGTGGCCTTATACGGAACAGCGTCAACTGTACAATGAGGTGAAGAGCTAAAAACAAGAAACAAATGAAAAAAAAAGAACTTTTAATTAAGCCCCTTGTGTCATGTCAAATAAAATCATTATAGCTAGAAAATAAACTGAATTAAGAGAGAGTCTTATCGCAAAAACCAAGCAAAACGAACCACCTATAAAGAAGGCTCTGATCGGGAAGATGGGACAGTTGAAAGCCTATATGTGGCAGCTATTGATTGTGTTCGCCTGCCTGTCACCTGGCTACCACCAGGTGCAGGCGGTTTTTCTTGAAGAATGCTCAGGAGTGATTATTAATAAAGTGGCTAACCCTAATCTGGAGTGCAGCGAATTCGTTCATTGTAATGGTGATGATTCCTACTACTGCAACGGGGATTGTCGGGAGCCCGTCGAGTGTTATATTACTACAGAAGTTCCAAAGGAAGTAACTACATTAAAACCGCTACCCCCTAGCACATCCACGGAAAAATCCACCACACCAGAGGAACAACCTAAGCCTGCTAGCACCACAACCACCAAAAGCACCACTACTTCGACTTCAACTTCAACCATAAGCACTACTCCCACGCCGAGCAACGATATCCATGTGATCTGCAGGACTAGTGGAAAAAACGGAGTGTATCCTTATCCGGCAAATAGCAATTACTATTATCAGTGTCTTTCGGGTTACCTTCTACTACAGCAATGCCCTCAGAATTTTCATTTCGATGTGACTCAGGGACAGTGTATTTCAACGAAACCGTATCGCTCATCGGGCTTACATTTGTAATCAATTTCTGATCTTTGTATCTCTGTAATAAAGTCGATAATGAACCGTGTTCTTAAGCAAATTAATTTCTGATAAAAGCCACCACCCAAACTCGGATGGAAAGAAAAGGCCAGAGGCTTCGTTCTCTATCAATTCAGTTCATTTTTCATATTGGGCCAGAGAAGATGCTTAAAGTTTTTGGATCCTTACTATTCCTATTCCTTGGTCTATGCCTTGCGGATGTGTTCGAGGAATGTAATGACGGAATTAACTTATCATTCATTACCTCACCAAAGAGTTGCGCCCATTACATTTTCTGCAATGGCGATGAATCATACGATGGTGAATGTGAGGACGGCGAATATTTCAGCTCCGATATGGAAATGTGTGAGCCAATGGGAGATATTGATTGCCGTACGGGACAAGCCATAAAAGAGAACTCTACGGAAGTCAATTCTGAAGCTCCTGAAGCTTCCGGTGATTCGTCGTCAACTGCTGCAGTGGTGAACTCCACTTTGGCTCCCACCTCGGCAATTGTTACTGTGCGTCCCTCAAGTAATGAGACTGGAACCACTCCTGCGACAGTAATATCGCCCAGTATAGACGTTATTGTAGCCAATATGTGTCCACAACTGGATAATCAAACCCGTATCGTATTATTGCCAAATCAGAACTCCTGCTCTGATTATTATATTTGTTATCGCGGCGAGTCGCTACCCATGAGCTGTGCTGCCAGTTTGCATTTTAATTCCCGCTCTGGCAAATGCGATCATCCGGAAAATGTCAAATGCATGGTGGGTTACGATTCTCATTATGTTATTTATAAACCTATTCATAAAATAATAAATGTTTCCAGACGATGACATCTAATCCAAGAGAGCAATGCAAGCGTCACACCATAGATGTCTATCCCCATTCGGACAATTGTAATTACTTCTATCAGTGTCGTCTTGGGTATTTGATAGTGCAGCAATGCCCGTTCTTCTACGGATGGGACTATGAGAAGCGATCCTGTGTAGCGCTAAGTCAGGCTAAATGCTATAACAAAGTGCAAATGCAAATGAAAATAAAATAAAAATAAACTAAAAATACTATTTCATTTTATTTACTACAGAATTTTATTTAAATTATATGTTTGTTGAAAATTATAAAGCAACTGCAATTCTGAATCTTTAAACATTAAGATAAAAGTTGACATAGATTTCGGGAAATCTTGTAAGACCTTTTGGCCTGAAAAATTTCATATGAGATCATCAACTATTTATTGTCTTGCCAAATTGCTTTAACTTGCTATATCCTCTAATGAGTAAGAAATCAAAATTTCTCTTATTACTTCTCCTAGACCCATTCAACCTTGAATCATTTTGAACTTTATCAAAAATATGTTCTGATTCATGACATTTGGTTGATATCTCTTGCAAAAAGATAGAGACCTTGGAACCAAAACATCTGCCAAAAATAGTTGCTAGAACCTTCAACTAGTTTAATAGGAAACGAAACTTTATGACCGATATGATATACTTTTTTCCTACAAGGACAATACTTATCGCTATTTGAAAGATCTTTCTAGGCTAATCTTAGCTCTCTCTTTGCCAGAGTTTCAAATTAAAAACTCCAGTAGCATTCGAGATGTAGTTTAGTGCCAAATGAGATATTTTATCGAGGTAACCGCGTTCTTAGTTTTGGCAAAAACAAAGAAAGAACAGTGATATGGGGAAGAAGCGTTATCAACTTCGCTTACATGCATTTGAAAATGTTAATTTTCTGATATTGATGATGGCGCCGTTTGTATGGCATATATGCCAAGTTCTTCAGGCATTACGAAATTAGAATAAAACTGCGCTTTACTGGAGTCTGACACACGAATAAACAACCATGATGCTAAATATTAAAGGTTAGTATTAAGTTATATTCAAGGTAGTAGAAAAAATAAAAGGTTTTCCCTTCTTGGTAGCTTTATTTTTAATGACGAGCTATCTCCTGGCCCCAACACTGGCGCAAAAAGGAGACTCTCGGCTCCTGAAACCCACCAACTCTGTGACCATTCGCCAGAGCGGCGGAAGCATTTGTGCCAATCATTTGGTTGGTGAATTTGTGGAGCATCTGGAGGATTGTCATATGTTTTACCTTTGCGTGGAAAATGGTGATGCCGTCTTGGCCTCTTGCCCACCCACAATGCTTTTTAACTCGGAGAGTCGACTTTGCGACACTGCTGGCAATGTAAAATGCCGGAATAGCACAAACAATGGCACTCCTTCCGGAGACGCAGGCGGCGGCGGCGGCGGAGCTGGTGACAGTGATCTTAACAACATGGTCACGGATGCTGCCACTTATTGTGCTGCTACACAAACGCAACAGCAACAGTCCAGCGATCGGATTGTTTATGTTGGGAGCTCGAGCAGCTGCAGCAAATATTACATTTGCTATTACGGCCAGGCCATACTCCAGGAGTGCAGCTCGCAGTTGCACTGGAATGCGATGACCGGCAAATGCGATATTCCGGAGAGAGCTCAGTGCACGTTGGGGGCCCAGGAGGAGCAGGAGGAACACAGGCCATCGAATGGTAATTCCAACTACAGGCCGGGCGGTGCCATTTCGAGTGATCTCATCCATTGCCCCGCCTACGGTCAGCATTTGTATCCGCACATGCAGCGCTGCGAATTCTTCATTTATTGCGTAAAAGGTCATGCCAGTCTACAGCAGTGTCCCTTTTATTATTTCTTTGACATTGCCTCAAAAAGTTGCCAATGGTCGCGAACGGCGTTGTGTGTGAGAGATTTGAATTTGACGCCATTAATAAAATAGAAATCATTATATTTATATATATTTATTTTGGAGGAACTTCAAATTTGGCGCCGCTTTTGAAATATATTTATTTGAAACACTTAAATGTGTACACACTGGCGTCTATCGGTATCGAAATTCATGATTCAAAACGGCGAATCAGTGTGACCAAGGAACAATTTACGATAGTACACAAAATAATCGATAATTTGATGTTTTTTTGTCCATCTCTAGAAAAGTGAATAATATAAGAATATCGAATTTTCTGTCACCACTCAAACCCCCCCTCCAAAAAAACTCAAAACAATAAATTCTTTTTTCTATGTTTCGGTCTCAGGTGTGTTGAACTCCGAGGTCCACGTCCAAAAGCGACAGGTAATCTATGCAACCAACCAGCGATCTCTTCCAGACTTCAACTGTGACAAAAGGGCCGAAAAACAGCAGGTGGCCAGGTCAGAAGTGACTGGAATCTTCTCGAGAAATCTCCAGTTGACCAAATGTTTGAGAATTTACGCGGTATATTCCGTAAACGACGTCGCTGCGAGGAGGACGCCCAGACTCCCCAGCCTCCGCCGACGAAGTCGCCGCCCAAGGGACCAGTGCTGCTGCCCCGATTTCCGGACGAGGAGGAGGAGCAGGAGTCTCCCGAGTCCAACGATGGCTATTGTGTCTCCTGGTCGGAGGCACAGGTCGATGATAGGTAATTGAATTCTCCGCATTCACGTTCCCCCCTCTCTCTCTTCTTACAGCCTGCTTGCCTACGTTGTGCGTGTGTGTGTGTGTGTGTACGATGTGAAATAAATAAACAAAAAAAAGTTAAACAAATGAAAGCAACAAACAAACGTCAAAAAAATATCACACACTGCTCCGCACCGACACCCACTCTCAGAAAAAAAGCTTAAAGACATTCCAAAAAAAGGTAGCCAGCAGCAGCAGCAGCAGCGAGAAAAACAAAAAAAAGAAATCGAAAAACATTGAGCAGTAGGCAGCCGTCGTCGATTCAGGGCGGGCAATAAAACACACCAACCATCTCAGCCGGAAATTGGCCAAATCACTCTGGAGGATCTGGAGCCGCAGGATATGGAAGTTGATGCGCCATTAGCGCAGCACAACAGCGACAGTCATCATCCTCATCAGCATCAGCAGATCTCGCCCACCGCTTACCATTCGGAGTCATCAATGAATTTCGATTATTTGCAAGATCTCCGAGCTGGCGCCATGTCCGCCTCCTCATCCGCAGCAGGATCGGCTGGTGGGAATGGCGGCGGCGGCAACAGCGGCTCCTATGGACTGGTCGACGACAGTAGAGCATTGGACAGGTTGTTATTTCCAATCAATCCTACATAAAAAACCAAAAATGAAACAAGAAAAACCAACGTAGCGAGAGCACAACCTATAATTTCCTAGCTATTATTATTTCTTTATTCGATTTCTTTGTGTTCCAAATAACAAATCAATAATGGTGATAGCTTCCAAAAAACTATCTGCTAACGGACGCCCACACAACACGCTCACAAAAAGAAAAACAAAATGTAAAAAGCGTTGTGCGAGCGACTCGTTTCGTAGACCTCGATTCTGGTTATAATTTTACGTAGCCTCTATAAGTGGACAGTCGTCGAGTCGCCGAATCTAACCATCTAACATTGCTTGTCTCTCGTTTCATGACTCTTTTAACCAACAAAAACCACACTTAACCGACATGATGTGACAACAGACCATATAACGCCAGCGAGAGGTAATAATCATAATCATAATAGCTGCGTTTTCTGACTAATCTTGAGGTGTCTCTTTGCAGGTTTGTGAATATACTGGACCAGTTGGATGCACGTGTGGAGAAGCTGCGCAAAGATGCCCTCAACTTGCAAGAGAAGAAAGACTATCTACTGATGTCCATGGATCTGATTAAGAGCAATGAAATGCTGCAGAATATGACCGAAGGTGAGAGAAAGGGACTAAAGATCTCGAAATAATAAGATGAGTAACGAATACGCATTATCGAAGTTACATCTATAACTTCTTTACATTTTCTTTCCATATTAATTTTTATTTATATACCTCATTTCAGCTGAACGCGAGGAGATCATGTTGTACATTCAGCGCGTCAGCTCACGCCTGGGCACCGTGGAGCTAAATGTGCGCACTGTGCGCGACAATTCCCAGGAGGATTCACTTAGCCAGATTAATGCTTTAATCGATACCATGATCAAAATGGGTGATCCTGTAATTGCACGACAGCGTTGCCAATTATATTTGAATGCCTGCTGCAGCAGCTCAATGGATCCATCTGGACACATGGACACGGTGCCTGAGGCTGATGTGGGTCCCATTGACAAGAAGTTCGAGAGCGTTCTGCTCGGTTGCACCCTGGACGATCAGAAGAATATTAAAAAGCGACTCCAGGCCTTAATGGGTTATCTAAATAAGCAAACTGTTAGCCATTAGTTTAATTTGTTTTTTTATGTGGAACATAAACTATTCATAGAAATTATTATCAAAAAACCAAAACGAACGAATTATACATCACCAAGCCAGACAAAACGAGTAATAATAAACGAAATGATAATATGTGAAGGTGTTTTGTATTGAGGTAATTTTTAACTATTTATTCTACTTAAATGTACTTAACCCTCTAATGATATAGGTGCCTCCAGCACTTTTGGAACTTCAAGGGTTAATACCTTGGAAAGCACATATCCTGAGCCTTCAAGACCCTATCACTGAGAACCCACAAAGCCCCATTAAAGCCAAAGAATATCTGCTGTATGTTCTTGGAGGTCAAATAGATTATCTCATTGCCCTCGGCCGTGATGTTCTCCAGCTGAGCACAACGCACCACAGCTCCAAACTTGGGGATTACATAGTACAAAGTGCCGGAGGTATCCATTATCATGCTGCGACTGCTGCCCAGGAGACTGCCCAAGTGATTGAGTTTAATACCGTCCTTCTCCTCATCCATTTCCAGTCTCTCCACAGTGCTGTATAGCTCACCATCCTCGCCAGCTAGAATGAGTTCCCCCTGAAGGCCAAAGGTAAAATCCACTGGCTGAATGGGAAACGACTGATTCATGTTCTCGAACTTGTGGCTCGTCAACGAACGGCGATGCCAGGTCTGCTCTAGGATGTCGTAGGCCAGGATTTCGGGCACATGATGACCCAGGACAAAGTATATATGGCGCTCCTGCTCGCAGCCCAGCTTGGGGCCCATTTGCACCACCAAATTTTCAGTTTCGTTTGCTCCAATATATTGTCCACAGTCGATCCTCAAGAGCTCTGCATTGTTGCGTATCAAATCGAAAACAAACAACCTCGGCGAGCACTTGCTGGCGGGGAATCCCGTGTCCATGACCCACAATCGATTCAGTGCATCCACCTGCGACCAGTGAGCCTGCTGCAACCGCGAGCAATCCGAATGATCTCCATTCGCATGAACATCCCGACTAGGAAAGACCACAGTGGGCATGGGAAAGTAAGCAACCGGCCACTGGGCTTCAATTAAAGTTGGCGAGTCATTGGTTTCCACATTCACGCTTAGGAACACCCGGGAGTAGTGCATGGACACATGGCGCACATAGTAACTGGACTCGTTTAAGCCGGATTCGGCCAGCTGCCAGGCGGATGCAGGGTTAACTACTATGTAAAACGCGAGGCAGGCGATGAGGACATCTGATGTGGCCATCTTTAAACGCGATTTCGCACTGAGCTGGAAGCCGGAGAGCTCTGGAGCTATAGGTGTGCTTACGTTGTAAGCCAATGCACGAAGAAGTGCATCAAATTGTTGACCTCAGCAGTTGGTGTCGGATATCGTGAAAGAACCCAAATATCGGCGGCGACCTGCATTAATGGGGACTCAATTTGGTGAGTTTTTCTATGTTTACGTTTATTTAAAAAAAATTAGAACAATATTTACAATATTTATCAGATCATATTTACTATAAAGTAAATAAAGGTTTAGTTTTCATTTTCTTAAGGCTATTCAGTTTGCTTTACAACTTCACACCTGTTTTTTAAACAATACAATTTATGGTTTTTATTTTTCTTTAAAATCTCAATCCATTTCCAACAGTTGTCATAAAATATTATCAAGTTTATTGTGTTTAATGACTCTATTTCATGATTAAGTTGGCATGAAATTCCTGGTAACTGAACCTACCTTAAGTGTTTTACCAAAAAAAAAAAGTAACATGCTAATAAAAATTTAGTTATCGGAGCTTTGAAGCTTTATTGTTTTTAGGTTTTTTTTTGTTTATAAAGATTGCTTAGTAATTTACCATTGGAAATTGCCAAAAGGATAGAGAGAGTAAATCCCCCGAAGCGTTCTTGAGTTTATAGTTTACGAGTACATAGTATCAGGGCTTAACCATTGATAAGAACTTTCCTGATTAATAATAATTTAAAAATAGAAGTAACTTTCTGGGAAAAACCACAATTTTTCTAGACACAATGTTTTGACTTGTCTATAATCAATCTAGACCGAGGGTCTACTATCTGCTTCCGAATTTGTTAAGCCATTTGTCTTTGTCAGGGACCGTCTCTCTTGTACTTTTATAGATATATGTTTGTAGCTTTGCTATCTTAATCAAAATTTTATAATTGTAATAGTAAAACTTTTGGTGTATTTTTACAAATTCTCTATGTTTAATATACATGTTTTATACCCAGACAAGCCATGTGCAATGTGAAGAATCCACGGATGCTATTAGTTACCGTGGTCATCACCATATCTACAATTATAATTATTCTCTTAGTAAATATATATATTTGGTATTATGATTACCGTCACAAAAAAACTGTCAATTTGTAATATAATCTTCTAATATCGGGTTAGTTGTAATGCCTTCTTCCCTCTCAAAACTATAACTCACATTCACGGGTAAAGAGTGTAAGCTCTATTTTCCAATATCTCTCAGAGCACTATCATCGTCACTGGCTGGCATGGTGTTAATTATAACGAGGGTCGTTATCAGTTTATTGTTCTTTCCAACCAACCGATATGATTAAAGCTTTCGATACTAAGCACCTGTCGCCCCGAATGCTCCGATGGCACTCATAGCCCTTTCAGTTGGTAATTTGCGCTGGTCAATAGCACAACGCGATCCCGGAAAAACTCGACTGGAGTATATATATAACACCTTCTATCCGCCAAATATCTCACCATGTGCAACGCTCTCTGTGAATGCCTGAAATGCCCCGGCAAAGTTGTCTGCTGGTAAGTTTCCATTCATAGATCCTGTGACTCATGATTGATCATTATGGGAGATATCTATATATCTCCTTTTTAATTTGGGATGGTTTCTTTACCGGAAGAGAGCACTTGTGATAAGGATTTTTTGGGTATACAGTGAGGTAATCTTTATAGTAGGGGGTTTTATTTTCTTAGGAAAGGGTTTTGTAAACGATTTTTTAAGTATTAATGGGGATATTGAAGATCTATTCTGCTTTCTTATTTGTGAAAGCATTGTCTTAACTTTGAAACTAATGACTCATTTCCGGTAAGCCATGGATAAGGGTTCTTAGGATTAGTTTAAAGTTTTAAGAACAGAAATATTCAAACTATATTCGATCTCTTATAATATATAAGCCTCTCTAACCCAATCTCTTTATATCCTTTCAGCTGCTGCAATTGCGCCTGCAAAATGCTTATGAGCATTATCTTCTCAGCTCTCCTTTTGATCGTAGTCATTGGATTGATTGTCTACTTTACAGTATTCTATCACAAGGACAAGGATACCGATGAGGTGCGGAATCAGGTGGCCAAAATGACGCCAATTGTAAAGCGCAGCATACGCGACTATTTTAATAAGGAATATTAAAACTGTGGATGTGAATTTATATATACTATTTATAGGCTAAATTAATAATAATAATTCGAAAAAGTACCGAAACCGAAACTGAATCAGGCCAACAGTGTTATTTTAATCTAATCGTAAACGAGGCCCATAATGGGATTTTTTCTTATCTAATAGATTGTTCGCTCAACTCAATTGAATGAGCTATTTATGCGCTTTAAAGAGAGGTTGGGTCTTTGGCCGGTTATTTGTTGATAATAACGAAAAAATATGGTAGGAAAATGTGAGTCATTGTGTGATTTCCAGCTAGCTTTTCCGGGGTGACAAATAAGCTACAGTACGGCTTCTAAATTTGTTACCTATGCTACCTAATAATATATTCACTTGGACATAAACAAATACAACTACGAAAAGTTCTTATATATCAGGTTTTTTTGTAAGAGGCAGACAGCCCGCAGGGAAACCCCTCATTACACACATTTTCCTATGTCTCATCCAGCTGTTTTCCTAGTTTTTGTGTATACCATTTGTTTGGGATCAGGTAGGCTGCCAGGATCGCTGGTCCGAGGGTTGAAACAGGACTATGCAATGTCCCTTGACTGGCTTCAATCACTTTCTGGCTTTCAGTTGCCCGCCAGCCAGCATCAGGTTCACAATGACCTCCGATTCCACGCTGTACTTCACCGCCGTCGAGGATATGTTCAAGGAAATGTTAACAATAGAGGTTGACGACTCGGTTCCCGGGAACGAAGAGGGATCGGGTTTGGGCTCTGACTCAGAAACCCCTAAACGCTGTGTGCAATTACGAAAGCAAAAATTGTTTGCCCAGGACTCTGCGAGTTTTGTGATAAGTCGCCGATCTCCAAGACTGGAATCTAAAATCAATTTGGAACTGCATTTGTCGCCCGGCAGACAAAGGGAGCTGCGGGCTGAGGAGATCCTGCAACAGCGCAAGGATCGAGCTGTAAAAGAACGCCAAAAGCCACCCCAGAGACGCCTTACCTTGAGGATATAATTAAAGCGATCTAAACCATTGTCTAGTGTGTTCTTCGATCACAGTGCTTCCCCCTGTTGTATGCTTTACTCTAAGATTTATATTAAGTTCTGCTAAGTATGCCATGTACGAATGTCTGGCATGTTGTCAGAGATCACTTTTAGGGTTTTGTGATTTTATGCCATTTTTTGTGCCATTAATAAAGTTAATTTGAATATATAAAAACAAGTGTTTTGTGTGGAATAAATTTATAAATATACTAATTTTTTAGATTAAATAATTTTTATGTTTGGGAATTTTGCCTTTGTGTTTTAGCTTTCTTTAAACCACTTTTATCCGACGTAACTGCATCTAGGCATGCCAAAGTTGCAATTTCCTTTGCGGATTTCAGTGAGGCCTAATTTTTTATATATTTAATATTAATATTAATGATACAAATATCAATATATATAAATTTACCTGACAATCCTATGCTCTCTCGATAACATGACTTCAGATGGGCCTCACAAAAATTGATTGCATGGTAATAGCAATTGAGATAAGTGGCACAATGGGGATCATATTCATATGTGCAGTTATCCTTGCAGACTTTACTGCTCACCACAACAAAGAGAGCTAAAGGAGGAAATAACAGGAAGGATATTTATTATTATTATTGCAGATATTAAATAATTAATTTTATTTTTAGCTTACCAATTAGCAGAAGGACAAAGCAGAGGCATCGCATCTTGATGGGAAGTTTAGTCTTCTAGATGTGTCTCCAAAAAAAGGAACTAACAGTTTTAACCCAGCTATTTAAATATAAATATAGCTTGTAATGGTTATGGTTAAATAAAGTTAAATAATTTGTTATGTTAGTTTAGGTAAGCAGGTGTTTTATGTGTTAAAAAAATAATAACAACAACTTGAAATTTCTTGGTAATGCATTTTTAGCTTAAAATAGACCTAACTGAAATTTCTGTAAAATTTTAAAACAATATTTACATTCTTTTTTATTTAAAGAAATCTTGATTTTGGAAGATTTTTTATATATAATAAAAAAATGGTTAGACAATTAATTTAATTAATAAATTTAATGTGGCATAAATTTGAAATATAACAAATTATCGTTTTCAAATAAATCATTTACTATAATAAAAATAACAACTTAATATATAGTACATATTAAAAGCAAAGGTTCAAACCTTTTCCATACAATGTAGATAAAATGTAAAATTTTCGCCTTTACATATTTTGTGTGCAATTTAAATTTCTCGTGTATTGATATCTGAGAGTTTTTGGAACAAATATATTTAAGGGATATTTAAAATTTAATTATTTTTAAGTATTAATAAAAGTACAAATGTATTTATTAGGTAAATGTAAAAATTTCATACAATAACCCAAAAGTTATATAACAGTTTTTATGACAAATATAAGAGAAAAGGACTTAGGGATCGTTTAAAATATCATTAAATAAATATCTCTAAAATGATATACTCTTAAGTTTCTTAACTTTACAAATTTGTTAATTAAGTTACGGAATTTCATCAGTTTCTTTAAAGTTGAAAACAACTTTCTTTAATCTCTACTATATTTTTTTCGAAAGAGGTTAATGATCTCGCACTTTCCTGTTCCCGATTAGGGCTTCCTTTGCCATTTAAGTGCTAACGGTTTCTTTGAACTTAAAGATTAGGCGATTTTAGCCTTCTGGGCCTATCTGCACAATCATTTTACCCTTGGCAGGCTTAACTCGGCTTAGCAACGATTAGCCATTAATGATGAAGCGCAAGCCACTTGAAATCGGTGTCTAATCACCAAAAGGATTATAGTTTATTATAGCGAATGACTAAGGGTACTAAATTAATTTTATAATATTACAAAATGTGCAAATTTTCTTAAGAAGTACAAAGACAAAAACAGAACTACACATATTTATAAGCAATATTTTTAATGATTTTTATTTTATTTTAAAGTAGAAGTTTAAATTAAAAAAAAGTATCTTTTAGGTTTCCGTCTCTGCCAGATACTTAGCCTAAAAATGTGGCTAATTTAACAGTTTTTTAATACAAAAATTAATTTATTAGATCTATAATCTCATCAACCCTAAATTAAAAGAACCGCTAAGGTAAAATACTTGCAAAACACCCATCGACCCTTATCGGAAGCAATGACAATTCGAATTTGTGACACTTCCCTTGATCACAAACATTAAGTTTTGAAAACAAAATGATTTGCAAATATTTATATGCTGGTCTTCTCCTCGTTTTTCTCACCGATTACATATTGTGGGACAGAGGACAGAGGAAGCCCCAATGACCTTTCCCTTTTACCCCGCCGTGTGAGCGAAATCTTGTGCAACCCATGTGCACGCGTACGCCAGACACTCTTTCCAACTCATTGATACGATCAGTACACCTTACTCTCCCCCACCGATTCCCCGCTATATAGTAGCATTATCAGCCCGTGCCAACCCATACAAAGAAAGTGGGAGATCGCCTCTAGTGTTTGTTATGTCTATGGGGCGTCTGTCTCTGCTTCTTGGCGGGGCTAGCTTATAACGGAGAATCTTGTAAAATTCGCCAGGTCCAAAGGGCTCTGAATTTCTAACTGAAATTTGGTCAGTGGGTAGGTCTAGACCTAAGCTATATGCTGAACAAAAATCCTTTAAATCCCTCAGATAGGAGCCCTTTAAATCGACCAAGTTTCTCACTACTCAGGGGATGTCCCGATTTTAATGATTCTTTCAGAATCAGATACTTCCCACCAAGGACTACAGCTGGACTGGGTTTGAGGCTATTTCCTGTATCCTTTCATATAGAAAAGATTTAACAAAGATCATTTTAAATCTTCCGCTGGCTGTAAACAAAAAGTGCCTCGCTATTTTCGCCCGATCACTTTGACTTATCGCCAAACACGCGGCCAACCGGCTTGCCTTAATGGGTGGAAAGAGAGGGCAGGCGACTGGGGGGCTCAAAAGGGGGGCCAGCAAGCGAGAGAGAGAGAGAGATTGCTTTTGCTTAGTGGGTGATTAAGAGAGAGGTCGCAGGTAGGCGGGATGATAGAGAGATGGCAAGAAGAATACGGAAAAGAGAGAGTGGTCTTGTGCCCTCTCTCCTGATCAAAAATAATAAAGAGCGGTCAAATCCACAAAGTTTTGGGTTGAAGGCCTGGGATATATAGTATCTATATCTGTATACAGTGCTGGGAGAAAAGGGAACCATATAACTTATGTTAGTTTGGAAAAGTTAGCTTTTACTTAAATTAAGAAACCACATATTTCTAGACTGTTTTTATATTTTTAATTTTAATATCACCTTGATATGTTACTTGTCAAATCATAATCAACATAAATATTTATCTTTTATATTTAATCACCCATTATCCTTAGATCTCAGTGATTTTTATATTTTCACTGCTGATCTAATGAAATTAGCTAAATATATATTAACCACTTGAGGCATTTCCCTCCTAATCAGATCACTGACTATGACTAGGTGCATTTCTTTCTATTTTCTAAACAATTTATGCTAGTCACTCCAGTAATTAATTTATAGACCCTAAAATTAGTTGAAAACCACAGACGAACCGTTTAAGATTAGATCTAAGCTATTGATAGGTTAGAAGCTTTATAGATTTCAACGATTTATTCAACTAAACAAACAAATATACGAAAAAAGAGTTCTAAAGTCTTCAAGAGGTCAGTCACTTTATTGGTTACGTCCTTGGTTGAAAGATATTTCAGTGTTTGCTAAATTTTGGAGCACAAAAAGAAATACTAATGCTGAAATAAAGATATAACTGAAATAATAATATATCTATATATCAGGTTTCAAGGTCTGGAATTGTATTGTTGATAGTGATTCAATTATTGTTCCACACTTTTCTTTATCTTGTAAATTAACTTATGTATTCTTTAATTCCAGCGAATATTATATATAAAGAAGTATTATAAGTTCTATAATGTAAATCGTTCAATTTCATTTAAACACCCATTAAGCTCATATTTCACCAGAATTTTGATGAGATTTCTGTGACAGCAATGCAAACTCATTAAAGTTAAATAAACAGATGACCGAGCAAAATCATTATCGGGCCTGTGTTTACCAGCGATAAGGCAGGATCCTTCTGGGACAGGAACTTAATATGACTTGCAAGCTGTTTATCATCCCAGTGATTAGTCTGTTCCTTATCAGAAGCTTTTTTATATTTTCCAAATAAAATGGATCAAGTTAAAAAATATGTTTTAGCACGTAGAATCTGTATATTTGCATAGTCTTTTATCGGTCAGATGGAAGTCCAAGATTATTAACTTTATGACTTTAATTTAAAAATATATTTGTATAATAACAAAAATAAAAGGATTTGGAAGTTTAGGATGAAGAACTACGTGCTCAGAAGTATAAAAAGAAAATTTACGTCTTTTTTAGACGTTTCCCAGGATTGATATTTGGTGCCTAACCATGCATTTAAAGTATCATCATATTCATAAGAAAAGTAAAAAATAATGTTCAAGAAAACACCTTCATAAGAGTCAGTTTAAGATGTTTTATTATTATTATAAAATATAAGCTTTTATATATTTTGTTTAAACCTCTTAAAATCTACATAATACACACTTTGTTCTGAACAAGCAAACAAATTAAAAAGCAATTACCCCCCCTTAAGTGTACGATCTACGCTTAACATCTATGCACATGCGGCCATGTCAGCAGTAGAGACCCTGGCCCTCGTTCTGCTCCACGTGGTAGTTGCAGTACTGGCGCTGAGTGGGCGTCAAGCCCATGGTCTCCACCTCCGCCTTGAACTGCTCAATGCCGCCGACACCGGCCAGATAGCCGTTGAGCTTGGTGGCCACATAGCTGGTCTGCAGCAGCTTGGGATTGAGATTCAGCGAGGAGGCCAGGTCCTTGTGACCCTGCAGACGGTACTTTTGATGGTATGCCTCGGCTGCGTAAAAGTTCTCCTTGGAGGCAATCTCCGTGGTGATAACCTCTGGAGCCCGTCGCTCCTGCTCCTCCAGCTTGGAGGCCTCAGCCACCCGCTTCTGCTCCTCGTCGTGGTACAGGATCAGGGAGGCGTACTGCCTCTTAATCGGCGTGGTCAGACCGTACTCATGGTTGTTCCAGAACAGATCCAGCAGATCCTTGAAGCTAATCACCGAGGGATCATAGTCAATCTCCAGCACCTCCGTGTGATCACCCCTGTTGAGATTCGTGGATTAGTACCGGATCAAAGTGTGTGGGATTGCAGGAGGAGGAATGGTGTTGATGACGATGGGGGAGAAACAGAGAGAAATGCTCGTGTTAGGATGATTAATGCCCTCGTTCCGGACTCTTACATTTTACGGTACGTTGGCAAATCGGAGCTACCGCCGGCATATCCCACGGTGGTGCGCAGGACTCCCCGCGTGGCTCCATACAAGGACTCGGCCCCCCAGAAGCAGCCCATGCCAAAGGTGGCCGTTGCCTTAGTCACATTCACATCGTGAACCGGCGAAATGTTGAGCTCTTTTTGTTCATTGCGAACGGTGCTCTGAAAGAAGAAGAAGCAGACGATGACGTATGAATAAGTGAACTCGGTTTATGACAATATTTTGTAATTTTAAACCACACCAAAAACAAAAACGTGAGGCCATAACCATAGCCTGGCAAGCAACGCATTTTAAACAAATTAATATTTGGGAAAACTAGATATTTAAAAATATTTTAAGGTGTTTTTTGTTTGGAGTCTTTATTCGTTGTGTGAAAAAAATTTAATGCCGCCAGCACTCTCTCCCGCACTCTTGTTAAAACTCTCTCTCAGCTGCAGGCTGCATTTCTCTTTGCATTGCTTCAATGCAATCTCTGCTCTCTTTGAACAGCTGACTAAAGTTACGCTCTCTTACGTACAGATACGATTGCAAAATCAATTTCAAAATCAAGGTCAATAGCGAAAACCGTTGAAAGAAAGTAAAAGTAGCTAATGGATGCGATTTAAAACGTTCATCTCAACACAAACTAAGGCACTTTTTAAAATATTTCTTTAGACACTTTTAAATTATGCTGCTTTTATGCTCTAAAACTTGCCTTGAAATTACGAAACAATCGCGCGAACATTTCGTGTAAACGGCTCAGCTGTTGGGAAGCAACTAAAGCTGGCCAAAACAAATCGCATTCCGCTTCTAGCCAACAAAGGTGGGGAGCGCTCGGCATGGATGGGCTTAAATTATTCTCAAACATTAAATGACGGAAACTGGCTTTTATGAGTAAGCGCACATAAAGCAACAAAATTGGACAGTTGACCTTGTATATTAAGTTCAAGAAACTTTAAGCAGCAATTTAAGTAATGTCAATTTAATGTTTGAGATCATGAATAGAATAATTTTTGGTTCAAAATAGATTTTCTAATTATTATTTAAGCACTTCAAAGGATACTACTTTTTTAATGTATGTTTTTAAGGGTTCAAAAAAAAAAAAGGATCCTATATTATATCACACTTTTTCCACGAGCATTTACTCACCAGATCCTTGAGCTCAGGCTGCGAAACACTTTGGGTAATAGTCAGAGACATGTTTTCTTTTTTATTTTTAGTTTTAATGTGTTGCTTTGGAAATTGAAAGCAGAACTGATGCATCTGCAGACGGATCGCTCCAATTTATAGCGCCGCCTCTCCCTACGCTTTCTACACGAGAGAGAGCCGAGCTACTATCTTTATCAATTCTCCCCGCTTCTCTTTCCGGCAGCCGGCCCCGTCGCTCTTTCTTCCGCTCGCAATTCTTCGGCGATTGAAAACTGCGCAGCGCTTCAGGTTTTTTTCGTAACATACCGGGAGAGATTTGATCAGGGTTAATAATTTAATTTAATTTGCTTTAAATATTCTAATTTATACAAGTCAAGTGCAGTCTTTTGTGGTCTCTGGATTAACCATTAATGGTTATTTGTTCGGTTCGTACTTCAGGCTACTCAAGCGGAGAATAAAGTCCAGCAGGAACATTTGTATTTTGATCTCTTTGGGATTTTCAGTGACATAGAAACCCGGTACACCGGCCTTTTGCAATGTGGATTGTTGGTCATTAACCTGGTGGGGGAGATAGAAGGTGCATTATAGGTATTATATATTATCTCGAACGAGATTGCATTATCTTAATTGAGAATGTAAAATTTCACCTTTTGATCTAAAATATTAATTATCTTCTTGTCCGTTTCAAGCAGCTTCTTGGTGTGCTTGATCTTAATAAGACCCAGAATATGTTGGAGTTCCTCGGGATCCTTGATCTTGCTTTTCCATCCTGCCACCTCAATGTCGTATTCGTTTTCCACCTGCAAACGCATTTTATTCAAATGTCTTTCCGTCTCGTGTTGCAATTCCATTAAAGCTTTGACAATGACGAAAATGCCTTCGTTTAGAACACAATTGGCGAGTTCGGTGAGTAAATCGTAGGAGATGCGGGTCTGAAGGTTTCTGTTAAGTAAATGGGAATTTAATATTTGTTGAAATCGAATTTTAAGTAATTATCTTACTCAGGGAGTTCAGCATGAAACTTTCGCAGATGATCTACAAGAAAGTAGATTTTACGTTGAATATATTCGGGTGTAGGCTGTTGCAGCTCTAAGGGAGCTACAGGGTAAATAAACAAATATGTTAATCAATTGTTTACTACTCAGAAATTGGGCTAAATATTAAAAACACAGAAGATCAAGATGTTTTATAGGATGAGTCTTAAGGTGTAGGCCATTATTTGACATTTACCAGCTTCACTGCTGTTGGAATTACCCTCGTTGGTTGCCGCCATGTCTGCCATCTTTTAATAATGCTTAAATTTGGTGTTATTTAACTAATTTTGTGAAATATTAACACTTTTGTTTGGGTTTTTGCAAGTTCGCCGCTTCCACAAAACAGCTGTTGACTAGGGCTGCAAGACAGTTGCAAGAATATCGATATTCCTCATTAGATGATATATCGATTATACTTTTTAATCAAGCCGTTTTGCAATCGAATTCAAAAATGGAATTTTCAAAATGACAATGAAATGAAATTATAAGATGATTTTTTGTAAATGAAACTGTAAATTAACTCTTTTAGAATCTTTTTGGCTATTTTATGGTCGTTTTGAACATCCGCACTCTAAGTTCGCCTCTTTGCCACAGGAGCAGCTATCAGCCAGTGCTGCAAGCTGCAAAATATTATCAATTACACAGGACTCCAAGGACCTAAGCCAAGGTAGGCACACTTACCAGCAGAAGTAGCGTGACTACAAGCAAAAATACAGCCTTCATATTGATAAATTCAAGAAAGGATTTACAGAGTTTATTTTGAAATATTTTTTATTGTACGGAAGAAAACTAGTAAATGTATTTGATTTGAAATCAAAAGGCTGCTTATGACTATGTTGATTACATCGGGGCCTATTGCGATTAGAAGCTCAAGGATTTGCGTGCCTTGATAAAGTGTTTGTCGGCCTCGTAGGTGTGGATGCGGTTGTTGCGCTTGATTTTGCGGCGTTTCTTTAAATCGGTGTCAAACTTTCCGGGTCCGCCACTGCATGGGGTGGTGGGTTGGACCCGTTGGAATTTCTTGCTGTCCAGTGAGTAGCATTCCCGAGTAGCGCCGACTTCCTTCTGGTCCTTGGGAGTTTCCACAATCTTCAGGCTGCTCAGACGCTGCAATAATTGGCTGGCTTCGTTGTTGGTGGTCGACATGATATTTCTTTTTTTCGAAATGCTTCTGGTTGATCAGGAAGTTATACGTTGCTTGACGTTGACGGCTTGCTACTGACTTCCATTTGACTCCCGGGCCTATTTATATCGCCTTGATGGGTGTGCAATTTCAGTGCTATGACATAAAACTCAGTGTGGAAAGTACTTTGCTAATCTTTCCCCCGCATCTGTCATTTTATGGTGTTACCTGCTCGTAATTAAATTTTCCGCCGAAAGCCCAGCTAATCCGTTTTTAATGCGTTCAAAATTATGCGCGCAGGTAGAAAATAAAATGCATTTTCGGAAGACGGTCATAAATGGATGCATTTGGAAAGTATTCGTTATAATTTTCAGATTTCGCAAAACCTTTTTCAAACAAAGCAAATTTTATATTTAAAGTTATTGAAAAATTTCAAGTTGTAAAATTTTTGGAAAGTAAATTAAATTAACTAAAATATAAATTAAATAACTAAAATAAACTATGATTGAGGAATTAATATTTCCAACCAAATCCGAAATATATATTTTATTTCTCCCCTAGTCCAACTTCATTTACTTTTTCTTTTATATAGTTTAAACAAAATATATTTAAAATTCTATAATTCCGCTTTTAATTTTTTAGATAACAGTGATTTTAAACGAATCAAAAATACGCGCCCAAGTAAGCAAAATTACTACCTTCAAGCAGTGTGTACACACTTACAAAAACATATGGTTTCTCTGCACGTGTATCGGTTGGTTCGTTTATGCGGAAAATAAATTTATGATTTGTAGTATGTAACTAGGAATTCTGGCATATTCTAAGGATTTTAAACAAATTTGTTATAAACCAAGCAACAGAAATTATGCTTTCCTAATTTTAGGATTCAAACGGAAGGTCTGCTTGGTCTTATAATAAAATGAAGATTCCGATAACCAGAACTTCGCAAACTTCACCGCATAAACGCGTTAACATATGGCGCCTGTTAGTTCGTTATTTCGATTTGAATGGAGCACTTGCATTGGAGCTCCGGTAACGCACAGAACGTTATAAAACCAACCTATCCAGGAGCAATTGAGTGTGATTGTGATTGTGCTTTCTCGACTCAGGCCAGTGAATGAAATCAATTGATTCGGCGAGTGTTAATGGGAAAGAACGAAATCAGAGCTAACTGTGCATTGTGTAACCGCTAAAAACGATGACCGGCGGACAGACGAGAAGAAGGAGGCGAGGAGACGGCGGGATCCACTACTGATCATATGATTGCCCAAGAACAACTGCAACAACAACAATAACGAGCTCTCAGATATATACGTCAGGTGTGACAAAGTGGGGAAAGCTAAAAACATAGCACGGCAGTCGCCAAAATAGCAGAATAGTATTTCGTTGCCAGAAGGAAAACACCAGCAGCGGAGAAAGGAAGTCGAAAGGACATAAACAATGTACACCATCAACAAGGGACCCAGCAAAATAGTTGCTAAATCGCGTCGCGGTAAGTAAAGCAGCAGCAACAAAAACATGTAACATTTAATTATTCGAGAAGGCACACAAAATAAAACCCTAGCAGAGAGGCAACATGCCCCAGCTGTTATGTCACAACATTTGCCAGAGCCCCAACGCGCTCTTGGCGCTCTGCTCTCTTTGGCCCCCATTCTGGCTCTCTGGCTCTGTTAGCTTTTTGTTTTGCCGGCATTTTCCACTGCATGCTGATAATTTACATCATCTTTTCATCGTTGTTGCAGGCCTGGCGCAAAACTTTGAAAAGTTCGAGAGCATCAAGGAGAGCGGCCGAAAGAATGGCAGCTTCGATCTGAACAGTCCCGAGGAGCACAACAAGTAAGGGCATCGTCCAAATCCGAATCTTTGGCCTCTTATGCAAACACCCAGGCAGCAGTAGCACATGTGTGGAAAGTGTGTGGAGCGGGGGAAAGCGGAGAGTGGGGCTAGCGACCCTCGTCTTATCTTTGACATTTTATCGCAGGAATCCGTGGCGACCTAGCACTGCCATGCTAATTGCTCTCTAGGAGACGCTAGCTAGGAGAACACGTGGGTCAGGCAGGCGACGCGTCGGTTATCGGCTCCATTTTCATTTAAATTCTGCCTCTGAAAGGCATTGACTTTTCCACTGACAACCGACCGTTACGTCACGACTTTGGCGGGAGATGGAAGCGAGGGGAAAGTTGGGATGTGGGACATGCTTGGCACTTGGAAGCAGAGCACTTAGCATTGATCTCATAAGAGATCCATAAAGCTAAGTAGGGCTATGAATAGTTAGAAGATGCAGTTCTTTACCTCTTTATTTTGCTTTTATTTATATTTAAATGTATTATTAATATTAATATTTTATTAATTTTATATTAATTTACATATTTATTTTAGAAAAGAGATTATTTTACAGTTTGTCTATTTTCTATATTAGGATCTTAAATCCCAACAATCACGTAGATTCCCCATGTTCTTTAATACTTCATAATTAACGTTAATTAATTTTGGTAAAATCAAAAACGAAACCTATTTAGAGAAACAACAAAAACACAAAACTTTTTAAAATGATGTGTTTAGATTTTGTTATGACGAAATCAATCAACACATTTCAGTTCTGGGATCGTTATGTCACACCTTCCACAGAAAGTAAACAGAGCATTTTGGAAACTACTATTAGCACATTGGTTTTACAGAGAATAATTAATATTTATTACAATAATTAATATTTATTACAATAATTAATAATTTTAAAGAAAAGTCAGCTAAGCTTATTACTATGCCATTCAGTTTTATATTAAATTAATGAGGAAATTATTAATTTATCATAATCTAAATATCAAAAATTTTATTTGGTAATACAAATGATATCTTAAAGGCGATGACTTATCTTATAAATTCTATAAATAAATTTGAAATCTGTTAAATAAATTAACCAACAAGTTAATCAGTAGCTAGAAAACACATTAGATTCCTTATCATCAGTATTAATTTTGCAACCCAAAATATAACTATTAAAATCTAATAGATTCTTTTAAACAAATATTAAACAGATTATCCCTCAACAAGGATTTCTTTTCTAAAATTTGCAATTTATTTTGTCCCCAATTTAGATATTTGTATAATTCATACCATAAATGACTCGCAAAAGGGCTACAAATGCGGTTATCGGCCCTCCAATGACTTGTCAATCAATAGATAGTCAGCTATCATTAATGCTAGCTTCGCTATCAGCTTCAGGGCCGTAAGGGTTAAAGCCCCTAGACTAATATCGCAGTTTGGGTTTTATTTATACTCTAATTTACTGCAGGCAGACATTGTATCAAGACAATGAGTTAGCTGGGAAAATATACAGAATTTCCAAATGTAAAGAAATTAATATAATTTATAACTACAATTCCCTCTCCTTTCTTTAAGCAATTTTGATGTAAGAACAAATAATTTCACAACTGATTTTGATTAAAGATTAATGAATATTCTTCATTTATATTCACGTGGCCAGAATCTTAATTTTACGTTTCCAGAGCTGAGTAGGAAGTTGTCGAACCCAATTTCCCCCACCTTTTCACTTTCCGCAACTGATTTATTTTCGTATTCCACATGCTCGGGGAGCGTATTTTGCATAAGTGCGGCGACGTCGTCACTGAAATTCATTCAGTCTGGTATTGTCATTAAAATATGTACTATAATGCCTTTTATTTAATTTTCATGAATGCAGCATACCGCGCCCAGTGTTCCAACAGAGCTTTGCCTCCAAGCGGATAGCACCGACCAAACTGATCGAAGATGAGGTGATAACGCCGCAGCATGAGGAGATAATACGTTACATAAATGACTGTAAGTCGAAGATTATTTTTAAAAATATTACAAAAATTAAATTATTACAAAAAATTTAAACAAAATCCTTTATTTTGACAGCCTGGAACATGCTGGTGGCCCAGAATCCCTACGATGCCAGTACATCCGCTAAGCCCGCCGAGAAAGTAGTGGCGGATGCCAACAACAACGATAGCTCAGCCAGTCCTGTGGACAGCATCATGGCCAACTCACAACTGACAGCAACTGTTTGGGTTGAGCCTCCTAGTCCTGCGCTGCAGGATTTCAAGCCCTTCGATCTGGAGTCATGGTGGGGTCGTCGCCTGTTCCAAAATATCACAAAGAGCCTGTAAGGATGGGTCGTTCCTGATTCCTAGCCTTCACACTAGAGTTGTATCTATATAGATGAGAGGAAGCAGACATAGATATCGTTTAGGGGCTAAGTAAATATCACCTTTTGGATGTTAGAATGTTTAAGAGGACTCTGACGTGGGAATAAGCCATGTTTCTTAGTTTGCCTCTTGTGTTTGAATATTGTGTAAATGGATTAAATTAAGAGTCATCGCCCCGACGCTGGCCAATTGTAAATAGTACGATTTATAAAAATGTTGTAGAGCTTTAAGAAGAGAATATCTGGTGGTTTGCCTGCTTGCTTGCCAGTTTTTAAAAAATCTAATCGAGAATAATATTTCAATTAACATACAAGTTAGCCATACGTTTTCAGTCAACAATCAAGTGTTTTAAAGATTTGCCTGTATATATATATTAAAATGTCAAAATTCGATTTTCCTTTTTGTCAATTTAGATAAGTTTTAAGGCAGGAATTGGTTGAGCCGATTCCTAACTACTGGCACCACATATAACAGTTAGTTTCTCGCTCTAAATCGTTTGTATGTTTAGCATAAATAATAAAAAAAGAAGTAATGTTGCAAAAATTATGTTTATTTTATATTATTGGGAGGAAAAATGAAATCTATATTTCATTTCATTACTTGTTGTGGTTTCAAGCCATGTACTTTTTAAAAATGTATTTATTTTTCTATATATATCATAGTTAAAAAGTTGTTTAGTTTAATAAATAAAGTGTAGTTTTTGTATTTAACAAAATATATTTTCAAATTTCAAAAATCGATAGTGCCAGCCACTTTACGGCTATCGATTACTTGAAATCCTTACAAATCTGTCACTTTCAAGTTATCGATATTGATATCGGCGCTGTGCCAGCTCTATTTGCTGAATTTTGACTAAAATCAACTGAAAACTTAGTTTTCTTTAAGATAATTAAATAAATTAAAATGGGCAGCGAAAACGAAGGCATCCATGACCTAGAGGCCCGCCTGGAGGATGTGAACCTGGAGGATATAGGCGCCCGCCATCGCCGCGAGCGAAAGGAGCTCCAAGCCAAGTTGCAGGCCATGAAGAAGAATGCCCCAAAAAACAATAAAAACAAACGTAAGGAGTTCCTGGAGGAGATGGCCCGCCTGGAGGGCGAGCTAGAGCAGCGTCACAAGGCGGAACTTCAAGCGGCAGAGACCAGTGCTCCAGCAGCAGAAGAAATCAAGCAGAAAGTGGAGGAGAAGCCGGCAAAGTCTGCCCAGAATGAGGAGGAAACCGAAGAGCAGGAAGAAGAGCCGGATCATCCTTCCAATCAGCGCGTGTCCAAGGCCCAGAAGCGCAGGGATAAAAAGGCCAAGGAGGCCAGGGAACGCGAGGCCGAGATCAAGGTGGAGCTTCAAAACGCCGCCAATCAGCCTTCCCCCAAACTGATTGAGCTCCAGCAGATAACAGCCAAGCTGTCAAGTCGCCAACTGTCCCTGCACAACATCGCCTCCGATGGCGACTGTTTGTATCAATCCATCAAGCATCAGCTGATTGTGAACGCTCTTCCAGGTCACAGTGTCCAGGAGCTGCGGCAGGAGACGGCCAACTATGTGCGGGCCCACAAGGACAGCCTCATCTGCTACATGACCCACCCGGAAACGGGCGAGCTGCTCAACGACGAGCAATTCGAGCAATACTGCCAGGATATAGCCAAAACACACGCCTGGGGCGGACACATTGAACTGAAGGCCATATCCTCGCTCCTCAAGGTGCCAATTGAAGTTATCCAGGCGGAAGGAGCGCCCACCCTTCTGGGGCAGGAGGAGTTTGGCGGAGCACCTCTGGTCATCTGCTATCACCGTCACATTTATCAACTGGGCGCCCACTACAACTCCACAGTGCCAGTGGCCTAAAAATAAAACTCACTCTCACTCGCTTTTTGTAACAGTTTTTTCATGTCTTTAATTAATAATTAATTATGTTGACTTTATAAATACGTACGCATTTTTGGAAGATTTGAATTATTGTCAAAAATTGCAAGTATGTAAGTAGTTATATGTACAATTTAATAGTCGATATATATAGTAACAATTCTCTAGGTTAGCTAGCGACACAGTTAGCTGGATTTGTTCTAAGAAAATATTTCTTATATAGAAAAATACATAATTCGTCTATATATATATTAGCTCAAAGTTTAGGTTTCTTGTGGCGATTGTTTAGTGTGTAAATTCAAGCAATAATTTGATTATTCCTCGAGCCTAACTAACTTATTAATTTGTAATGTGGTTGCAGCAACCCATTATTTGTCCTTTTTTTTTGTGTATTTTTTATCATAGAAGCGAAACGATTCCATTTATTTCTCCTTCTTGCTCTCCTTCTTGGGCTTCTTGGCAGCCGGCTTGTTGGGGTAAATGGCGAACATGGACAGCTGAATGCCGCCCAAGACAAGAAGCAGTAGATTTTGGAGCTGAAAAAACGAGGGATTTATTAGTTTTGTTCGCCCTTAGTGACTCACTTTCAATTGTAAACTTACCACCATCACAGTATTCTTGATTGAGATGGCATACAGCATCCAGGATGTGGCCACCAGGTTACCAGCCAGGATAATAGGGAAAGGCATACCCTCGGTGCTCTTCTTCTCAATGATTTTCGGAAGATGCAGAAGGGGAGAGCCCACCAGCCAAACCAAGATGCCGGTGATCAGCATACCCAAACGGAATTCAATCTTGGCAGGGTCCTCGAAGTTGGCATAGGCCGTGGTGGCCAGCAGGAAGACCGAGGAGTAACCGATTTGCTTCCAGATATTGAGCCTGTTTCCACTCGAAGCGTAGTAATAAAAACCGAAAAGGAAAACAAAGTTAATGACCAAACCAATTAGATTGGTGTTGATCATGGCGGCATCGTTCATGATGTAGGCCAGCTTTAAGCTGAGAACGGTTCTGGAAAGTAAGGAAAACAAAATATAAGAGTTGGGTTTTTAGCTAGTATATTTAATAGTTTACTCTAGGCCTTTTCTTTTAGCTTATATTATAATCTCAAATTATAATTTTTCAATAATAAATTCAAAGATAGTTTTCTTTTTGAAAAAAAAAACTTTCCTTAACAAAAAGAAACCAATTTCATTCAAAAACATAATCATTTCAAGAAAATAAATAAAATAAAACTAGTTTTCTTTTTATTTTCAAACATAGATACACACTTTTCATAGAGAAATGGAACAAGTTTTGACCTATAACGTCCCATAACCCACCATTCTAATGAATATCTTACACTGCAGGGTCATTAGAAAACCTGTTCCGTTTATTTAATTAAGCTATCTACAGTTATACATTTGCTTTAAGTACAAACATGCTGAGTCAAACGGGTTTTCGGGATACACCTGGCACTAAGCAGTTTGTATTTTTTTAACAATCATCGCCCACGTAGCAATTGATAAGAATATAAATACAGGAAAACCAAAATAATCAGCAATTTCATCGATCAACTTATCAAAGAACCCACTACAATTGTGAAATACATTCCGTGATTGGTGGGAAATTAACACACAAAACTGGCCGGCCGCCATGGAATACTATATTGCCCTTGACCTAGACACCTTCCAAATGGAATTCATTTAGCGAAACAAACTGTTGCTTCGCTGGGTTGCATGTCTGTGGGTCCTTACACTTGACACAGTCCAAGTTAACACCTTCCGGTTAGCCACCCAAACCCACCCCCATGAATAGCCAATAGTGATGACAGGTACCCATGACCAGGCATAAAAGTGTACCATGTGAAAAGTAGTTCGTCACATTAAGCATGAGAAATGTTTGTTTAAACATTGTGTCATAAAATTTATATACAAACTCAAAAGGTATTAAGTGTTTTAGTTTAGTAAACATAGAAAATCATATGTTTTATAAATAGAAAAAGTAGAAGTGAGTTGTGATTTTAAAAATAAATGCCATGAGTGATTGGAAAGTATTTTTTATAGTATAGAATTTATTGTTGTAATTTTACTCGTTTTTAATGGCTTATATTCAAAGCATATTAGGAGGGGAGAACAATTTTTCAGGCAATTATTATGTCAAGGTATATATTATGAAAATATATAGACATACCAAGAGGTATGTACATTTATAATACCCTTTAAAATCTTTTAAATAATATGAGGTAATCTCTAATCAAAATATTTTCAAGAAATATATGTTTCTTTTTCTTAAAAGAAATTACAAATTAATACTAAATATTAAAAAATGTTGCTTCCTTGGTGGCACTCTGTTAAAAATCCTATTGTTTTCACTTTAATTAATAGTATTAACCTAATACCCCCTAGTGTATAACTATATATAGACATATAATTACTCCTAGATAATTCCTAGGTACACCTTAGATACTCATCACTGAAAGCCACCCCCAAAGAATCAGAACCCCCGGACTTATGCCGAGCACGTGGCAGAGGCGAGTCGTCGTCGACGGGCAGCCTATCTTCCGTCTGTCCTGTCTCATAAACGATTAGCTTAGCTGCCTCTCCTCTACGGATCAGCATTCATAGAATGTAGATTATTGCTACACACTCCAGATAACAAGTACGTGTTAGTATAGGCCGCGCGTCGATAAGGAGCCAAAAAGATTCCCAGTGACGATGACAAGGTTAACACATATCGAACTATAAAATATATATTTCATTTAAAATGTAACGACTTTAGAGATCGAAATGGCGGTTATTTTTTGCCTTCGAAGTGATGTAACCCCTTCCCCCATTGTTTTCTTTATTGAATCGAGTGCAAAACCGATTCACTTGGGGGCGGCCTTGAAAAAAGAGCCGATTCTGTGGCGTCATGGCGACAGTTCAAAAATTTAATCAATTCCACACAGATGCGCCGCCTGCCTAGCTATAGTTTTTTTTTTTGTGTCGTTGATGCAGTGAAGCATTACGAGGAGAATACTTACAGCACCACTCCGCCCAGAAATGGACCCACGGGATAAACATCGCTGCTGCCTTTCTTCCGGATGTCGTTCATCAGCGCCACACCGGACAGGAATTGCAGGGTAGTGATTGTGCCGGCTACCTTGGCAATAAGTTCGCTGTGAGGCGCCAAGAGATCTCCCAGAGCATCCATGTTGTTATATTATCTCTGGATTTTTGATGGGGCAAATCAAACGAGTTCCGTGCTGGGGTTTCGGGAGGGCGGGGGGCGGTGCCGCGTGAGAGTATAAACAAATGAACAACGAAAAACAAAAACTAACGACCGACTGGCAACTGCCGTAACAAAAAAGCGACTGAGCCCCAATCGGTGGGGCTGTCCACCTTTTATAATCGGAAAAGCGCCACAAATGGACACGTCGTTGGCGTTATCGTTATCGCGCAGCGGGGGCTTATCGGATACAAAACATAACATTTTGAAAAATTGGGAAACATTACAAAGTGATAGTTATTTAAAGGCACAATTGTTCAATAGTATATGTAAAATATATTAATAAATCGGTTCAATGCTGAACTTTAAATAGAAATTACATTTTTCTACAAAGAAAATTCTTTGCTAAACGAGTTTAGACTTTAAAAAATAATGTTTTTTAATGGTTTATGATAAGAGCGGCCTTCCTAAATATTAATAATAATAATATTTACTGTAATCTAGCAATATAATACTTAATAATTCACTTTAATCCTACCATAAATTATGAATAAAGATAACTTATTTATTATCTTCCTTTAGGTAAATGCAATAAAACTGTGTCTAGGTGAAATTGCAGCTAAAAAACAAGAAAAATTAATTAGAAAACCAACAAAATTAAATGTTACTTACAAAAATCAATATTTTTATTATTCAAAACTTATAAAAACTACAGTGCTCCTGTCCTTTTTAGACCTCTTCCTTGAGGACATGCTTCTTCTTTTCACTGACATACGGCACCTTGCCCTTTTTGGAGTGATTGCGCACATTGGCCTCCTTGACCTGCTCCTTCTCCTTGACCGTACGCATCTTCTTCTGGGCATTGAGCACATGTCGCGGCACCTGCCGATGCCTAGCAATGCGCTTGATCTGCGGATGTGCAGCATACTTGTGCTTGAGAGCCTCCTGGTAATTGAAATTGACACGTTCACGTGGACGTATCACGCCCAGCTTTTCAGAGGCCTTTGCCTTCCACATGCGCACGTTCATCTCATCAGAGCCGGAGAAGACATATCGATTGTCCAGGGACCATGCCACACAGACCACATGCTGCATGCGTTTGGTGTGGTAAATATCCCTAGAGTGGCTGTGATGGGCATTGTAAATGCGGACAGTCTTGTCATAGCTGGCAGAGACGAATTCCTTGCCCGTGGGCGAGTAGTCCACATCGGTGACGGCGGAAACATGATCAAAGTGAACCTTCAAAGGAGTCTGGAGTTTGCGGGTGTCAAAGGTGTACAAGCTGTAAGATAAAGCAGGAACGTTACAAATCATGTAATATTTTTTATTAATTATTCAACTCACTTGCAATCCTCATTAGCCACTGTAAAGTTGAATGCCTCCATGGGATTCCAGGCCAACTTGTTGCTCTTCATGGTCAGCACCACCTTGCGCAGGGGCTGGGCCTCACGCTGGTCGTACAGAATAATGCTTCGATCGCTGGCACAGCAGGCCAGTATATCCGTTTCCACGGGATTGTAGGAGATAGTATGCAGCGTGTCCACGCCCCATTTGAGGGTCTTCAAAGGATCATTGTGCTCCTCATCCCAAATGGCACATACCTCGCCGCAGGTAGCAAACTTATTTTCCTTTCTATTATGAGAGATGCCGTGAAGGCCGTATCTACTGAGTATGGTGTTCACCGGCTCCTCCTCATCGCCAATTTCTGGTGCCTGAGCCTTCCAAACCTTGATGGTCTTGTCATCGCCCACAGTGAAGATCTGTTCCCCATTGCGGGTGTAGGTAATGCCCCGGACAAAGCCATCGTGGGCCACAAAGTGGCGGATGCTGGTGCGATTGGCCAGGTCCCAGATGCGCACTTCGCCATCGTAAGCGCCGGTGGCCAGGCTAGAGAGTTGCTTTGGATGCTTGCCAAAGCAAGCCACACCATCGCGGTGGCCACTTAAGTTGGCTACAAAGGGCTTGGCAAACACTCGGTCCAACTTGGTGGCATTCAGAGCCCGCACATACTCCCGGGGACCCTCCAAGGGATGCAGCGAGGGATCGTAGTTTCGGGGCACTAAAAGGCATTACTGATAAAATTCTGTGGTTTAAAGCTTGCATTTGACTTACTTTTGTGCTGTTGCTCTTTGGTTTCCCGGACATAATTGTCCGGATTGCGACTAATCATCTTCACCTTCATCTTGTAAGCATTTATTTTGGGTTCTCGCGACGCAGTTAAAAGTATTAAATGAAAAATTGGAACATAAACAACATGTGCGAGGAACAGGGCTGCCAACTGGTTTTGTAATCAGCTGATTGATAGCAGCCGGCGGTGTGGTTACACTTTTGACTAAGGGCTGCGGGGCAACACTGAAATTCAAAAATTGGGCGTTACTTTTGGGAAAGTTCAAATTCGTTTTTCTTCTAAAATATTCAAACGTATTTTTCAATTTGAAGCTTTATTGAAATGCCTTCATTTGCCGGTCAATACTGATAACAACCAAAAACACTGATAATGCACACGAAACTGCCGCCGTCATAGGTAAACTTTCCATAATCATCAGATAGCGGGTCCCAGATGGCTCGGGCTCCGTAGCAGCATCCTGCACCGGTCTGCTGGTAGAGCATCACGTTCACCACGTGCTTGAAGCGCGGAAAGGAGCCGCTTCCCTTAAACTTGAGATTAATATCGTCGGCAAGATCGCGAGTCCATTTCATAGCCTCCTCCGCACTGTAGACCTTGTTGGCCAGCCTCTCTTGGGTCATTTGATTCAGAATAAATATGATATATGGCACTGGGAATTTCTTTCCAAAAGCTGGGCCCATATTGTAGGCATTATAGATGGTGACATCTGTAGCTGGCAGCACCTCAGTGCCGGCCTCTTCTTCTCCTTTTACGTCGGACTCACGATCACTTATATTATCAAGATTGCTGTCTTTACTATCTCTGTCTCCTCGTTTAGATTCGTTGGATGATCGACCACCTCGCTTAGATTGCGAGGATTGTCCGGTTTGTTTAGATACCGACATTGTTGTAGGCTTATTTTCATAGCTTGGGTTTTATTTAAATTTTAAACAATATTTCTATACTTGTATGTTGCTTTCAACGAAACGGAGAGCGATTGAAAAGGTGTATAGAGTCAAGATAGAGTCGAGTTTCCAAGGCTACTTCTTTAAGTTTTACTTAAAACTGCCACAAGGGTTTTCCTTTTTCTTACAAATAATAAAAAACCACTCAATTTCGCTCTTTTTCTATTTAAGGTCATCTTCTCTTTCAGTTTTTCTCCTGAAATGCGCTTAGTAGCGAACGAAAGAGTTGTTAGCTGCTTTCTGAGGGAGCAATTTCTCTCCTGGTTAAATATATTAGAAAAGATTTAATTTTCTTAATATTATTAATGATTTAATTTAAAAAATATCATTTTTATTGTATACTTTTTATATTATTTTTGTGTCAACATATTTTTATAAATTTGTTTCTTTTTCTGTGACTTAAACAATGAATTTCCAAGGGATTAAGGCATTTCACAAGTAACCTAAAGCAAAGGAGTAACTCGAAAAGGGAACCTTCAACGATTTGAATGCCGGTGTCTCCGGCAACTTCTATGACGTGTGCCACTAGAGGAGGACTTATCCTCAGATGGATTTAGGCTATACTGGACCTCTTTCTCTTCCAGAGAAGCCTCTTTCTCGAGGATCTCTTGCTGCTGCTGCAGTTCATGAACCTTTTGAAGGCAACAGCAATTCCTTAAGGCGTTCATGAAAACACTCACATTCCGATTGAAGTTCTCCAGGTTTTCCGGCGTTATAATGTGGGTTTTACCCCTTTGGCAGCACTCATCGATGGCCACCTGGGCATGATAGATGCACTCACTGGCCTGACCCAGGGTACTCTTCAGGTTGTAGATCTCCTGTTTCTTTTTCAGTTGAGTCTCCATGTAGCGGGAGCACAGCATCTCGAAGCGACGCTGTTCACTTCGATACTCGTCGAAGAGTTGTTCGTATTTGGAGTGCAGCTGCTCCGTTTCCGACTTGAGGACTTTCAGAGCCTTTTCCTTCTTTGCCAGCTGACGGCAGCTTTGGCGATGGGAAACCGAGAGCTCATCGTAGCTGTAAGAGACAGTAAAGGAACAGGAGGTAAAAGCATATCCAAGGACTCACCGCTGTTGCATGAGCAATGGACTTATGGAATTGTACAAATCTCCAGCAGACTTCACAGGGGACCACCTGTCGACCCTCTCCTCTGGCTCGCTTCCCTCACCTCCAGAGGTATCCACGCCACGGAGCAACTGCACCAGGCGTCCGTTGCGCTGCTTTTCCGTGTCCAGCGAGAAGGACAGTTCCTGCACTCGTTCCGTCTGCCGTTCCAGGGCCATTCGCAGCCTGAACTCGCGTTGATGGTCCTCGTACAGGGTGTGCTCCAACTGGTTCACCTTCCTTAAAATGTGCTCGACGATCTGCTGGTAGGGATTGAGCTCCGTCTTACTCAGCCGAGCAGCAGCTGCAGCCAAAAGATTATCTCCTGGAGTTGGCTGTTCGTCCTCGTCCTCCGAGGCGATCAGCAGGCTGGGGCAATCCGAAGTCGGGAAAAAGATGCTGGGATTGGTAATGGGATTGGAACTGGGATAACCGCTACTGATGTTGAAGGAGGGCGGGATTGCGTCCAAAATGGGAATGGAACAGTTTGGGGCTTGCCCAAGGTGCAGTCTCTTGCTCACGTTCTTCAGGATGTCGCTTAGCTTCATCCTTGGTCCTGTCCCCGTTGCCACCGCCGTCGTTGTTGCTGTCGCTGACTCTGTCTTTAGGCGTTTGGCCTTTTCTTTAGCTCTTTCTCTCACCTGGCTCTGTCTGAAAAAAGTCAGGTGTGTGCTGCGTTGTGTGCGTGGCTTGTTTGACAGTCTGCCTACTAGGCACTACACTTGGAGAAATATCAGAGAACGAAAGGTATGTCAAGGCAACTTTATACGTATCCGAAAAGGAGTTAAAAATTGAAAAACCACAAAAATTATGGATTTTTAATTTTAACAATATTTATTTTTTAAATTTAAAATATTTTTGAATAAACTTGTAACCTTATTACACATACAGTGACAAAAACAGTTCCTTTTTCACAGTTTACACTCACATCTAGGCAAAAGTTGCTACCTCTCAGGCTCACTTTCCATATGGTTTCGCACAACTTTTTAAATTGGTTTCAGTTTTAACACCTTTGCCTTCAGTTCGCCCGGCACTCAATCAAAGTTGTCGTTTTCCCTGCTCCCCAGCAGCTTCTTGCATCGTCCTTTGGCATATGTTTTCAAGTCCTGGCTGCCGCTCGCTCCTCTGGCAGGTTTCCTCCTCTGGTGTTTGTTAGTCGTGCGTAAATTGCCATTAGCCAAAAAGGGTTTCCAGGACCTGATACACTTATTGCATTTTTATGGGCAAAAGTTTTGTTGTTTTTCCAACCCGCCGCCGTTTCTGTTTTTTTATGCTGACTGAGCTGCATGTGTCCTTGATTAAGGTAGGACTGCCGGTGGATTTGTATTTTAAACTTGATTGAGGTAATTTCGTAGGCAAGGCAAGGCAAGGTGCTCAAAAGTAGGAAGTTACTGTGCGGTCTGTGTTTTACGAGTTTGCCTCCAATGAATGTTTATCGATATTGATTTCACAGGAGAGTGGGTATAATGGTGTTTTTTTGGTTTTAATATTACTTTAGTGGTGGTTAAAATTAAATTAAAGTTTGGAAAATATATTATTACAATATATACATTTGAAAGAATATTATAGTTGGTTTCCACTACTCTTAAAACGTTAGTTTTTAAGATTAAAAGATATAAATTTACCGAAAATGTAGTTTATATATTTAAGAGTAATATTTATGTGATAAAATACATTTTTAGCTTAATAATATCAAATTTTTTAAGGAAATAAGGTAGTTATTGTATAAATTTACATACATCTATAAGCTTTCCATTTATTTGTTAATTTTTTACTAAACTTTCTTTATGCACTGCATCTTGTCTAGTTTATCTATAGCTTTCTATATATTCTTGTTGCCAACTGATACCTAAAATATAGAAAAATCTTATCTGTATAGCCTGATAAGCCACCCGACAGATAACTTCCACAAATTAACTAAATTTTTAAGCTTTTCCTAATCAACAAAAGTCATAAATCTTTGACTTTTCTACTTGCATTCCGAAAACATAAACAATCAAGCTTTCTCTTAGATACTTTTCTGCCTTTCTCTTCCTTATCTCTTTGTTGCTTTCCCTCTCTTTTTCTGCATTTATACCTCTCTTTTGGGGGCCGCCGCTAGTCAATGATTGTCTTTTGTAACACAACTGAGCCATAGTTTTGGAAAATTTCCTCAGTGAAGCTTTGACAACGCTGGCGGCTGGCCGCAAACAAAGAAATCTTTATTATTTACATAAAAGAAAGTAATTGAATTAGAACGAATTTAAGCCAAATACAGGAAGAGAATGTCTCGCCTAGTATCTGGAGTCCGAACATTATTCCGTCGTTATCCTTTTGTGACCAATAGCGCCATCTATGGAAGTCTGTATGTTGGGGCTGAGTATTCTCAGCAATTTGTATCAAAACGCTGGCTGCCTGTAAGTTTAATTCAATTTACTCATAGATGAGAATATATCTAAGGGGTATATAGAGTATTTTAAACGACTTATGTGTCTTGTAGTCTCCGGCCGAGCGTGAGGATATCGATTATGCAACTATAGGAAGATACGCAGTGATGGGTACCGCGGCCTATGCCCCAACACTATACTTTTGGTTTGTCCCCAACACCAGTTAAATGAATCTGTATATATGTATAAAAGTAAACAGCTGGGGTCAAAATAATAGCAGTGATATTTAGAGCCAAGTTATAATTGTTTTTTATTATTATTTAATAAACTTATGACTTGTTGGATTCTTTCATTTGCAATATATTTGGTTAATGATAAAGTAGCTTGTAGAAAGTCAAATTTAATATTAAATGTTAAATTTTGTTAGCTAAGACTTATCATTTTTATTACTTTACTTAGTTTTCTGTTCTATTATCTCATTTTTATTATAATTATTTACTTCCCTCAAGTTTTCTATAATATTTATATAATATATTTAGCAGGAAGCTTAAAAAAGTTAATTAAAAAAAAAAACAAATAAATACTTAAAATATTCTAAAATTAAGAATTTTAGCTGTAGGATAATAAAATAGAATTTACTGACCTATTAAATCAAATTATATTCAATAATATTTATTGGAAAAACAATTCAGAAAGAAATATACCAAATTAAGATCACCCTATTTTGTAAGTCTAATAGAGCTATTGTCTTGACCGCAGCTGTGTCTACATACATACTCACACACATGGGTGGACCAGTAAATGTACACACACATATATACTTACATGCTCGCCATTTAACCATTCTTTGCATTTCCTCAATTGCTTCGCCATACGCTTCTGTTGTTGTTTTTGACTTTTATCAATTTGTTTACAATCCCGTAAAAGCTCCGCCAGCACGTGTCGCAAAGTCAAGAGCATGTCCATATATCTCTCACTTTCTCCACACTCTCTCTTCACGGTTTCTCTTTAGCAGCACCAACTACTAAGCCACCAGAGCACAAAGCTTTTCCGCCATTGGAAAGCTAACGAGAAAAGCACGCCAACTGCACTGAGCATTTTTTTGGGGGCATACTATGTGCACGTCTAATAAAAGGGTAAAGCGCAATGTAAGTGAAGAATGATAAAATATGATGGAAAGAAGACAGAAAAAATCATATTAAAGCAAACACAAAAGGACACGAAACACGAGATATTATATAATAATATAACACCAAGTTACAAGGATAAATTATATAATTAAAACAAAAGACACAAGGATTTGTATACATCAGGCTATATAGCATTTTATGTTTAACATTAACACAAAATAAAACTATTTATAATTTATTTAAACATTTTAACACATATATATTTCACCAACTCTTAATCAACTTGCCTGCTTTTGCGTATTTAAAAAAATAAGTTTTATATTAAGAAAATATATATAACAATACATTTTTCAACATTTTCTTAGGTACAAATGGCTAGATCGCACTTTTCCCGGCACTACTAAGGTGATTATTGTTAAGAAACTGGTACTAGATCAGTTTGTTTTAACGCCTTATTTATTGACTATCTTCTATGCAGGTGAGACTTAAAATTAAAGATACAACTTATTAAAAGAGTTAAACAAATTTTGATTCATTAAAAAAATAAATAAAAAAATTAGTAAAGATTTTACAGTGAACCATAAAAATGTTCACTTTGATTCCACATTTAAGCTTTTAATAAAATGTTAATGAGAAATGCATTAATTTAATTAAAATAAAAAACCCTTACTTATAAATATAACAAACTTTTATAAATTAAGAACTCAATTTTAAATGAATTCTTTCCAGGCATGTCCCTAATGGAGGGCTCTGAGGATACTTTCCTGGAATTGCGCGAGAAGTTTGTGCCTACTTTTGTGCGCTCCTGTATTTTCTGGCTGCCGGCACAGGCCTTGAACTTTACTTTGGTGGCGCCCAGATTTCGGGTTATCTATATGGGTGTTTGCGGTCTAATTTGGGTGAATATTCTCTGCTGGATCAAGAGACAGAGTCTGCCGGTTGCCACAACGCCTCACAACAATGTGCCTTCTTCTGCTGCCATCAAGAATACTGAAACATGAGATTTTGAATATATATATACGTAATATATCCATCGTGTATATAGTCTTAGATAGAATTTTCTATATGATTTGGCAAATAAAGACGGACGTGAATATAGTTGGTGGCCATGGAGTTATTTATTTAACCTGGCTGCAAATCGCTGGCGAACAGTGCGTATGATTGATGTTCCCATAAAAGGAAACTCATCAATTACTACTTACCCTCTATTCATCTCTATTTTCAGTGTGTGTGTGTGTGCTGTTTATCAGCGTGTGTAAATGTGTTTAATTGTGTGCGTGTGTGCGTAAATGTTTCCATCAATATTTGCCACACACAAACAAGAAGGAAAACCATCTAGGATTTGGATTCAGAACCCATCCCGGTTCGCCGAGATGGTAACTATTGTGCCAAATACTGGCAAGGCGGCACAAATGGAAATGAAGGCGGTGGGTGGCAGGGGAAGTGGTGGTTAGGCCAAGCCGTAAAAACGTCTTAATGTATTTAGTTCGGGATGAGGGGGCTTTTCTTTTATAGAGATGAGATAAGATTTATAATTTGTATGGGTTTTATGAGCTTAGGAGAATTATTTTAATAAAAAATTATTTGTTTAATTTTTATAAATTTTAAAAGAATATTGTAAAAAATAATAACAAAGATAAATAATACAAATAAATTCTTCTAGATTTTAAATCAATTTTAAATGTGTCTAAAAGTATGCAAAGGTAAATTTTATGCTAAAATTCATTTATTGTTCAGGGTTATACATTTAGCTTTATTTTTAAAACAATTTAAATTGATTTCATATCCCCCAAAAATTCTCATAATTATTAAAGGCATTCCTACTAACAATCCAGATTTGAAATTAATAAATTATAATAATTACGCAGTGCTACAGGGCGAAAATTTGTATTTATGTACCCAAAACTAATCACAATTTATCACTTAGCCTGGACATTGGTCTCCCTAATTTATGTCTCCTGTTTTTGTGCCCAACATCCTGGCTCAGCCTAAATGCATTGTATGTAATTCCCCCATCGCATTAACTTTTTGCCTAATTATTGCTCATCTCTAGCATCTCGGTGCCGTTGCCGTTGCCGTTGCCGTTGCCCCCTGACCTCCCCCAGCGACGAGCTAAACTAATTAGACATGGCGTGTTTTTGGCTACCGCCCCCTTTTACCCGCCCAATGTTAATGCGTTGAATGTGTGCGTCTGTTTAACTTATTGCTGTCTATTTAAATTGCAATTTGTCAATACGCGTGTGTGTAGCATTACCACACGCCCATCAGGGAGCCACCTCGATTCCATTCCACACACGCAACACCCCCGGCCCCTTTTTCATCCATAGTTTTCCTTGAACACCAGGAGAAAATAGAGGATTTTCTTTGAGATATTTTTGAGGATTTTAAATAAATTTAAATAAATGTATATAGCTTATTTTGATAGTTTTGGTTATTATTTTTGACTTGAAGGTTTTCTGTTAAAAGAAGAAATCTTAAAATAGACTTAGTTTATATTTATAAAAAATTCAAAGTTCAGCTATAGACAATCGGGGAGGCTATAAATATCTTTACGGTTTAGGAATCTCTTTAAAATACGCTCAAATCTATGCTATAAAACGTAAAACAAAAGTGTTTGAAAAAAATAAACATTTTTAAATTAAATTCGGTACTAAAATGAATATTTTATTTATTTTTTTTTATAATTTAAAACAATTTTTATAATAGATAAATTATCTTAAAACTGAATAAATTGCTTTAAAAATGTCTTAAAAAACACAATACAAAAAATAATAAGAAAAACTTAAAAATATAGAAGCTTGAAAATTAACAAATAATTTGATTATAAAATATATTTAAATATTTCCAAAAATAAAATCAAAATATCCAAGTACAACCCACATTATTTCTCTGCGTGTAGGCATTCGTACAATTAAACTTCTTGTACAGTCATTAACAGCACATAACGCTGGGCCAGCCCGTGTCCAGACTAAACTTGCTAAACTTGGCAGACATCGCAGCTCCTGCCCAGCTTCCCCTCTAACCCTCCCCTCTACCCTGGAAACTCCCCTCTTTTGGCCTAAGCTTCCAGCACTTCCTTCGGGACCTCCCTCCTGCCTTTGACTTTGACGGCGATGTCTTCGCTGGTTTCTCTAGGTTGCTGCTGCTGCTGCCTGCTGATTCCTGGTTCATTTTTTGTTGTGTTGCTTCTTTTTTTTTTATTTACATCCGCTTGTTTGTTCAAAGCGGAAAATTAATTCCATCTTGGCTTGTTTCCGTTTATCTTGAAAAAGTATTTCGTCGTCTTTTCGCTTTATACTGTATTTCAGGAGAGGCTCCTGCTCCTCCACTTTGTTTTACTTTTATTTTCCGACAGCCTGCTGACCAGCTGAAAACTGCTTTTCCTACTTTATATTTGAGTGTGGAGCTGGGGTGTAGACCCAGGACTATTTACTTCATCTACGGGTCCTGGCAGACTTTTTTTTTGGGTGCTTTGTTGCTCTTGTTTGGTTTTAAGGGTATCTGAAGTTGGTAAAGCGATTAGATATGGCCAAGAAGTGGGGAATTTTATTTAAATTTATATAAGAAGTTGATGATTCAAATAATTTAGAGAAAGTAAAGTGAATTCTTCTATTTTATTAGCTGAAATCAAGGGAATTTCTTACATTTTCTTTACAATTTAAATTTATTTATAATTTTAAAATATTTAAATTACAAACAATTATTTATTAAATTATAAGAGCATTCAAATTTCCCCATAAAAACCTTAAATCTTCTCTTGGTCTTCCACTTTTGTTTTCTTTTGCTTTTCCCACTGTTTGCCTTGGGTGGGCTGGTGGTATGGCTACTGTTCCGCCTCTTGTCCTTGGCCACGCCCCCCACTTCCGGTGGCTCCAGTCATCGTGGCGTGAAACTAGCGCGTCGCATCGCCCACCACACGTACATTAAATTAAAAATTAATTTACAAAAATAAACAGAGTTATGCCAGAGTGAGGAAGCATCCGCCGAACGATACCGACCATAAGAAGCTAATACTAATGCTGCTTCATTTGATTCAATTACCGGAAGCAGTCTGTCCGGCGGAGCGGAATGGTGACGGGAACTGGTGGAATTTTCGTGTTTGTCTTGGACACGCGGCAGGAAGTTGGCCGAGAGTATCTCGGGTATCCTCCTCCAAGGACTTGTCGTAATTACCGCACAAGACAAATAGAAAATGGCGTAAAAACGAGAAATTAATCAACGTTCGGCGCTTGTAGGGGTACATATATATAGTCCTATTCCATCCATCCATCCATCTATCTATCTCGATTGCGATTTGCGATGTGAAGCGCTTGGCAAATATGGCAGCTAGCCGGGCATCATCGTCATGGCTAAACTACTGCCAAGGGACAAGTGCAGGGAGTTGGTGTTCTTTGACATGGAGATGAGAGCGTGACTTTGGCCAAAACTGAGATGTGATTTAATTAAATTAAATTTGAAAAGGGTTTAATTAATTAATTTTATACTTGGTAAGGTAAAAAGGTCTCTAAAAATATCGAAATATTACTATAAAACTCTGTTGCTTTCCAAAGGAATGACATTAGGATTTAAGAAACTTTGAACATGTTTTAACTGCTGTTGAAGTCAAGAGATCAACGTTTGCATAAAAAAGAGTTAATAAATTAATTTTTAAATATTGTTTTCATATTTTAGGCCTGCCAAATAATTTTGAAATATATGTTTTCTTAAGCTTGTCATTTTGACAATTTCTAAAAATTAGCTTAAGGCTCAGTTATTTTCCAAAGAAACTTATTTTAACTTCTCTTGAAGAAAGGGGGTTCATAGTAATTTGCATAAGAAAGCGTTAATTAGTATTTGGTTTTAATTTGCGTGGCCGTGATTTCCGTGGCCCCATCTCTGCCAGAGGGTCCTTGTGTGTCCTGTGTGATGTTGATTCCGGCCTGATGATGGTCCAGCATCTGATGACGGCTCTTTCACGCGATGCGGCATTATAATTTTAAACTACTTCTTTGGGTAAACCTCCCTTTGGCAGTCCCCTTCTGCAGTCCCCCCTTTTGGCACCCCCCTTTGGCACCCTCCCCCCTTGCACACCCCGCTCCTTTTGGCTGTGGGACATCCTGGTGCGGCACATTTGTTCGCCGGCATGTGAAAATTGATTGCTGTTGTTCATAGCTGCGGGATATGGCCAAAGTTTTTAAGTTCCCAATGCCTGTCCTGGAAAACCCCAAAAATCCTACCCTGCCCTGCCCTGCCCTGCCCTGTTCTACCACCCCCAACACACCCACCCCCGGCAGGCTTTCCGCTTTCGGTTGTTGTTTGGGCGCTGAAAAGCTGAAAACAATGCGCATTTTCCTCGCGGGTCTGCGTCGCCTTGGACCGAGTTCTCTTCTCCTTCGGGGCATTTGTGTGCTGCTCGCTGGCTTGTGTTTTTTTTTTTTTCGTCGCTCGTTGTATTATTAAGAAAGTTTTATATTTTTTTGTCGGTTTGGGGTTGGAGTATATTTACATTTGGCAGTTGGCTGCGTTAAGCGGCTTGCGTTGCTAGGGAAATTCTGGCAAGGCGGCGGCCAGGGAAAATTGTAGGGAGAAAGAGAGAGAGAGAGGTCCTGTGTTGGTCAGAAAACTCGTCGGTGGTGCTGCTGGTGCTGAAATTTTTAATACTCTGTTACCTTGTCGTGCAGACAATTTGATGCCAATGGGGAATATGAGTTTTTCCTTCGCTTCATTCCTGTCTGTCTGTTTTGTTTTTGGTTTTTTGTTTTTTGTTTTTGGTCTGTAGTGCCATAAAAACCTATATATATTTATATATGTATATGTATATGGAACCCGGCTTCGTGTAGCTTTATAATTAAAGAAAGACGAGGCGAAAACAAAGGAATAATAGCAAAATAAGAGCCTGGCAACCGTTGGCAAGAGATTGCACTCATGGAGAGCCTGTTGATACGGCTCACCTTAAATGCTTCGGGGGGTCAAGCTGCCAAAAAATGAAAGTCGAGACGGAAATGTTGGACAAAGTGAGAATAAAAATAGTTTATTTTAGTTAATTAACTATTGGACTAGTCAAACATAGTGCAAACTTTTGACTTATTTTTGGTTTGTTGTTT